TAGAAAAATGGCTTTTCTTTTTAAATGGTTTCTTATACCTCTCGCATTTAGAGAAACTATAGACAAAGACATATATATATATATATATATATATATATATATATATATATATATATATATATATAAAGAAAACACACACAAAAAATACTAAGAACAAGAGTAAGACCCAGATATTGTAGTTTTTTTTCGATTGCTAAAAAGCAAAAATGAGGCACAATTTTCACAACCTCTACTTCTGTTCCCAATCGCTTGACTCAGTTTATCACTACTTAAGATTTCCTTATCATATCAGAACTCTGATTTTCCTCCTTTACACTCTGATGTCAATTTCACATTACCTTGCTGTCAAAACACAGCACACAATTTTCAGGTTTACACACACTTTCCACATAAATTCTCAAAGCTTCACTCAACAACACACAAATATTCAAATCTCTAAACTTTCGGGTCTGGCGAGCAGTTTGCAATCAGGGACTGCAGCATAAAAGTAAGTTTCCACAAGGCTACCCAGGTGTATGAGTGGTTTCAGGACCACCCACGGTTTTCCATTTTATACCTTCCACCTTATTCCCCCTTCCTCAATCCCACTGAGGAGTTTTTCTCAGCCTGGAGGTGGAAGGTGCTCGAAAGGAATCCACAGAGCCAGGTCCCACTGCTTCAAGCCATGGAGGAGGCTTGTAGAGATGTGGCCTTTGAGGCCTGTCAGGGCTTCATGAGGCACTCAAGGCGGTACTTCCAGCGCTGTCTGGACCAGGAGGACATCGCCTGTGATGTAGATGAGGCCCTCTGGCCAGACAGAGACTGGCAGCATGATGCCCCATGATTATGCTTGTGGTGGTGGTGGGGGTGGGGGGGTGGGGTTAACCGTAAAAATAAAATGTTTTGTCTCAAAATTTGTGAGGGGGTGGGGTGTGTGTGTGTGTGTGTGTGTGTGTGGGTGGGGTGGGGGGTGGGGGGTTAACAGTGAAAATAAAATGTTTAGTCTCAAAATTTGTGTGATGTCTGATGTTTGTCTCAGAGAAAAGTGGGCACTGTCATACATTCAGTGTGTAATTCATTGTGTTCCATTTAGACAATTGTGTTTTCAGTTTTGCTCTTCAGTGTTCTTTTCATGCTTGGTAGTGTTCACTCAAAGGCTACTTGTGTTTAAGCAATGAATGGTATGTGTGTGTCATGTGAAAATGTGGCTGTGTTTACCAAATGAAAACACGTGTTCCATTCTGGGAACATGTTACGATATGTGATGGCAGGGTTTTGTTGCAAAGGGAAGCCACGGTTTAGGAATTTGTGTGTTATGTTTGGGGTTTTGTGTGTGCAGTTTTGAAAGAAATGTACAGTTTTGAAAAACGCGTTTTAGCAATCGAAAAAAAACTGTAAGAACTAACAAAAACTCCCTAATCTACAATAAGCAGGTGGGAGCTTATAACCAACCAACGAATAATGCTGTTCCATTGCGCAATAGAAGAAATCTAAGAACATATATAAGTTATTGTAAATCGTATTTAGAACTAACAGAATTCTATAAACTTTTAAGTTTTATACCAATATGTTTTAACCCAAATGCTATACAATATACAATATAAAAAACGGAGTGGAATATATTATTTAGTAGCAAGTATAAACCAATTCAAGAATACTGTGTCTCTTTGGCAAGTCAAAGGAAAAAGGAAAGAAACAAAAAAAAAAAAACATCAACCATCAATAAAACCAATCTAAGTCAAGACACTTTTCGCTTCCCTGAAGTTTTCCAATGTTCATGTTCTATCAAGGCGTGTGTTCTCCGTTTGTTAGCCGTTTAGCTAGCTTAGCAAGGACACACAGGAGGTGTCTTGTAGCCTAGCCTTGGTCAAAAATTACCCACAATACACCACAATATTTTCAAAAAGACTGCGGATCAGAAACCGGCAGCTACTTCGGGGACAATTTTCAAGTTTAAAAGTAAGTCAGCTAATTTAAAATGTTTATTTTTTAGATCCAAAGAAGTTATCTGTTGTTGGTTAGTTGCTTAGTAGTGGCAGCTTTGGTGGCTAGCGGGTAGTAACTCGCTTATATTTTTAATTTAATAAACATATACACAATTTAAAAAGTAAAAGTTTCGTTTTATATTTATATTGAAACTTACATGTTTAAAATATAACGTTATCTCCTGTGTCAAGTGACATTACATGACCGCCGTGGAAGTCGCGGTCACGTGATGCAAGTCTGTTCCATTTAACCGTTTTCTTTGACCAAGGAAGGACTGTGTCCTTGTAAGCAAGGCGCCTGGCCTCGCAAGACATCGCCTCGCAAGGCAAGGCGCCTTGACATTGAGAAACACCCCTTGTTATAAGTTATGTTAAAGTAACATTAAACAGTTTGCAGCTTCTCTGTCCTACTGGTTGAAAGTGGAATTACAACTGTCACAAACAACCCTGCGGCAGCCTGCTGTAGTTAGCGTTAACAACGAGCTAACGCTAACGCGAGCCAACTGATATTAAATAAGCCACAAAGTAAAAATATCCACACTGTTGGACAAAAAATATTATTACTTACAAGCAGAGGTGGAAAGTAACAAATTACATTTACTCACGTTACTGTAATTGAGTAGCTTTTTTGTATATTTATACTTTTTAAGTCGTTTTTAAAAGCTGTACTTTTACTTTTACTTGAGTACGTTTTTAAAAAAGAATTGTAATTCGCTACATTTTAAATCATATCCGTTACTGAGTAAAAATAAATTATAGGCCTAATAAATTAAAAATATTAAGTGTAGCAGCGTTGGAACGGGGGGTGGGGGGTGGGGGGTGGGGGGGTGTACACTTTTGCTCAAAGACATCGGTTCAGTTCTTCAACTCGCTGTTTACCTCCTCTCTCCCTCCTCTCCTGGGTGTTGGATCCCGCACCTTCGCGCACCGGTGTGACGTCATCAGAAATCTGTTCGGTTCGGTAGCCGGACTCGGTTCCGTGTTTGAATTGTGTTTCTCTACCGCTCCGGCAAAATAACATTTAGCGCTCATAACAAGCGGATTATCAGCGCTTTGCTCATAAAACAGAAGACCTGCAGGCCTCTGTGAGTTAAAACATCCTGATACTGTTCAGGTGTAAACATTGTGCTCCATCCCTGTGTTTGAACTTAGACGATGCTTCTTGATGACACACATATGTGATGATTTAGCTTGTTTCTTTATTTTACTCCAGAATAAGAGATTAAATTATTACTAAAGCAGTTCAATCTAGTTAAATTAGTCATGATGTGTGTGTGTGTGTGTGTGTGTGTGTGTGTGTGTGTGTGCATGTGTGTGTGTGTGTTACGCATATAGAGCTGCATGAGACAGCATGGTTTCATCAAATCCATGCATCCTATATCTTGGCTGAAGTAATGGCTCAGGAAAAGGAAAATAACATATTTCATAAATAATGACGTCTCTGCAGTGTTTATGATAATGTTTTATCTTATCTTTGGTCTGGGAGGTGTAACTTATCATGATACAAGCCTTTTAAAACATGTTAAAGTGTTACAAGAGGAGATAAAAGCATGAATTTAAAGTTCATGTTTGGAGACCAACTTTCACAGTTTGGAGACTCACGCTGGTGAGGAGACACCATTAGTTCTAGTAACACCTGGGCTCCCAAGGCCTGTTCTGACAGGATGGACGTTACGGGACCCATTCCAGTTGGATGGTTGGAGGACTATTTAGGAGGATTGGAATGAACAAACTGATTTCAGTGGTGAATGGTTAAATGAGTGAGTGAACCCACCACCAAGGATGAACTCTGCTAGCTTTAAAAATCAGCTGCTTTAAATAAGCATGAAGGTCAGAGAGGAGCTCTAGGATGGACACGAATAAAGGAACTGTAATGTAGAGGTAAAGTAGGGCAGGGCCAACTTTAACAGCAGTCATACGGTCCATCTGAAATGTTTGACTGCATTTGGTTTGTTATATTATGTGACAGGTTAGAGCACAGTCTCATGTTAGAGTTTTGTCATGAAAACATTGAGATACCTCACACACTGATGGCATCTTAAAAAATTATGTTTTCTCAAAATAAAGAATAATTTTAACCACAATTGAAACTTACCATCCTAGAAAAACCTCATCCAATCAATGTGCACGTCCTGTTCTCACTGATTGGATAGAAATCCCTCCTTCAAGCTGAGCGTGTGTGTATGTGTGTGCGCGCACACACACGAGCGAATTGTGAACTGGCGTTGTGATTTAGTACTACTTAGATGTAGCCATCCTTACGCTGACAAAAATGTAACTAAGTAACTTTTAATTTGAGTACATTTTGTTTACGATACTTTTTACTTTTACTTAAGTAAAAATTTAGGCAAGTACTTTTACTTGTAATTGAGTAAAAAATTATCAAAGTATTGGTACTCCTACTTAAGTAGGAAATTTTAGTACTCTTTCCACCTCTGCTTACAAGTCCAAAAGCAACAAAACCAGGGTAACATCAGCCCGTGATTTCATAGCCTCCTTTAACTCCTTCAAACTGTGGTGTAATACAAAACGACTGTATGACTGTTTACTCTGGTTTTAGATATTTGCTTCACCTCCAAAGACACTACTGTCTTACTTTTACCTCCAGGCTCCACCTTGATGCCAACAACAAAAAACAAAAAAGAAATTCTTCTTCTCGTGCTTTTAACTGAATGTCAGCAAAACTGAAAAAGCTAACTGCTAGCTTTTATATTAGCTACTGGCACAGAAATTAGCTAACAGACGTTGAGCAGGTAAAGAGCACTCCCTAGGACTCCTACCCACTCCACAAAACTGTTAAGTGCTTTTTCTGGTCAGCAGAGATCTGTTTCATGTGAAGTTTCTACCTAAACTATCACTAAAACCCACTATTAAAGGAATTAGTTACAAGTGTTAGTAACTGATTAGTGTTGCTTTAAAAGTAAATGTATAGCACTCTTCACATTTAAGCAGCTAGGTTAAGTGAAACCAGCTGACATAACTTGCTTAAGTTATTTCAACATTTCATTTCTTAAGAGTGCAGAAACTCGGCTTTACCCTTTACTGTGACTTTATGCTCTCCGGTGTTTGGATGAGTGAAAATCTCCACGTGGATAGACACTTCTCCCACGGCGTCCTCCACTCCTGATCCTAACAGGACACATGGACAATAATGTATAATTTATTACCCCGAATATCAAAACAAACTCCTCATCACAGACCTAATGTTATCAGTGTGCTCCTGTAACCATATTCTCCTCCATGCTTTCATTCCATAACCAAGTCACAGACCAACTCTGTTTCAGTCTCACTCCGGTCTTTTGAGACGAGTTTGGCCTTTTTCATACAAACAATGCAGCACAATGATCATTGGTGCACATGTTGTGGTCTGGAAGTGGACAAACAGACAAAGCTGCTATGAGTCGGCATGAATGATCTTTTTTTTTTTCTAGTGCAGTGAATTATCACCCACTGACTGAAGTATTTAGAGTCCGACCATCACCAGTAACTTTAAAGCTTCAATGCAGAAACATAAAAAAAAAAGATTTCAATGTTTGGTTATGATGAGACGTAAGGGAGCTGCTTTTGCTAGCGGCCGACTCATAGACGCGTGGTGTTTGTTAGGATGCAGGGTGGTTAGTAGGAGGCAGAGAAGGAGACAGGGTTTGTCTCCGACACCGAGTTGGTCTGGGCAAGCTCAGATGGATCTAACGACACCCATTCCTTGGATCTGAACTCCAGAACACAAAAATCCAGAACCTTTGTTTTAAAACTTTTAGCTGCAGGACTAATTTAGATAAAACGAGTGCATGGCCTGCTTCCGTGGCTCCAATCAGGTGTTTATCTGGGAGGGAGTCGATGAACAAATCTTTCTGCTGAGTGTTTTTATCCCTTTGCACCTCTAGAAGGATGCGGCGACAGATGGACATTCATTTTTAATGTTTTAATTAGTTTCTTCTCTCTACCGGCGGTATCTTTGCAGCGGCAACCATAAGCATGTGTGTGTGTGTGTTTTTAACTAGTCGCCCACTGAACAAGGTGTCAGTGGGAGTTAAATGGCAGAGTGTCCCTGGCATGCAACTCGCTGCATCTCCCTGGAGTGCATTATGGGATTGTTGGTGGAGCTGCCAGCAGGACCAAAGAGAGCAGCAGCATCCATCTGGCCTCGTCTCCTCTGCGGAGGACGCTCGAAGAAGATGAGAAAGAAACTTTGCTGGCAGGGAGGCAGGAGGAAGCTTCCGAGTAATGGTCGATAGAAGGTGATTTCCTGACTTGTTTTGTGGTTGTGACAAAGCATGAAACCAAACAACCTGTCTAGGTTGTTTCACTCATACGACACAAGTCGATGCTGTGGATCTAGAGTTTCTCTGTGCAAGTGTGTCTGATTACTCATGTGTTTCATCCTGATCCAAAGTGACACGGGTCACCTGACCAGATGGAGTGTCTCTGACTGACTCAGTCTAAGGAGTGCAGCATCCTTTCTACATGTGGGAGCTGTCCGAGTCTTTATATGCGTCTTATTGTGTCCCAGGAGGAGCCCACCCACACCAAGACAAAACCACATCTCTTCCCCTGCATTTTTCTCTTCTTACTAAAGAAAAAGGGATTTCCACAGTAGTTCTCTATTCAGATGGATAATACTGATGCCTCCACCTCTATAACCTTAAAAGAAGTCACAGCCGCTCACGCACACACACACACACACACACACACACACACACACACACACACACACACACACGCACGCACGCACGCACGCATGCACACACACACACATTCTTATTCACTCGGCCTTCGGGCCTCTCTTGATGACATCATGCTGCATCAGAATTCCTGCACACTTTAATGCATTTCAGTTCTTTTTCACTGATGTCTGCACATCATGCTTCAGTGTCTGCCCATACATAGCATCTGTGGCGTATGTATTCTGTGCAGCCGCCTACAGAAACATCAGTGTGTTTGTTTCATGCACGAATGCATAAAGAACTTATCGTTGTGTGTGTGTGGGGTGGGGGTGTGGGGGGGGGGGTGTTTGACTTTGAGCAGGCAGGAAGGAGGATTTAGATGCATATGGAGGGTTGTGCGTGGAAGGGGCTAGGCTTTGGTCTGGAGGCTTTCTGGTGGTCCTAGTTGTCTCAGGCCCTGAGCCTGAGTGCCACATACCCTTTTCTGGGTAAACATCCTCACTAGTGGTGAATCTCACCCCCTTCCCGCTGAACACTGGCCCACAGACGGGGCAGGACGAGGGAGTAGACGGAGAGAGGAGAGAGACTTAAAATGAGGGCTTGAATTGCAGAGAAGAAAAACAGACATTTTCACCAGAATTAGGGGAAAACGTGATGATCTCTACTTGTTTTTGTAAGCTATTTCCTCAGAGAAGCAGTACAATTGTTTAATCAAACTTTACAGATCCGTCCACTGAAACGACATCTCTTCTCTTTGATGTTTCAGCATCCGCCACAAAAGATGAAAGCTATTATGTGGCTGTCTGATGAGGCTGAGACACCAAGAAAGAGAAGAGATGGATTTTATTTGCACCAAAATATAGTCCGGCTGGTCCCCAAAAGGCTCTACATGCAAGAGGACTGGGGAAAAAAAGGTTGCCACATGTGCTCTACAGAGTGGGCGAAATACATTCAGGAAACAGAAATCATCAAAACGCCACAGGAGAGAAACAAGAAATCACCGATCCACGTCGAACAATGAATTCAAACAAGAAATTAGTTTCACACAAATAAATGAAGTTGCTCAAATGTAGAGACAGAAAACAAGGAGTTGGACGGAGTAAAAGCACGAGTTTACCTTGGGCGTTCTGCGATTGGACAAAGGTTTTTATGAGTTTATCTGTGGCCTGAGTGTAAAGGGACAGGGCGTAGTGGAGGGACTGGAGGTCCGGACTCTTCTCCAGGAAGGTCTTCTTCAGACCCACACCACCAGCATGGAAGTATTGCTGGTGACAAACACAACAGTCAACAGATATTAGTTGTTTATTTTTTTACATTTTTTTAATCCTAAAATCAAGTTTTAAGGCATTTCGATAATAGATTTCTACCAAGGGAACAAGCCGTTGTTTTCTTATTATAATAAGAACACTTCTAGTTGTCTCTGCATCAAACAGGTCCATAAGCTCTACCTTGATGGTGTCCAGAGCCAGCTCAATCACAGCACACTGTTTGGGGGATAAAGCTTTGGCTTCTTCACGAACCATGTGCTCCTGAGCAGGAGAAAAATCACACAGTCACCAATCTTTTCAATAAAAAAAATGCCATGTGAAATGAGATTTAGTAAGAAATTGGAGCCTTGGTCTGAAGAATTGCTGGATCAAGTACGATACCTTCAGTTTGGACAGCTGTCCGAGCTCCTTGGCAGCGTTAAAGATGAGCTGAGTGCCCTGGAAGATGAAGAAAGAGAGGAGGAGGAGAAGGTGGATGAGCAGGGTGAGAAAAGCGTCATCAGGAAAGAAAACTGCATCAGACGGCTTAGTGTCACACAGAGGACAGGAACGGCTCTTACACACACACACACACACACACACACACACACACACACACACACACACACACACACACACACACACACACACACACACACACACACACACACACACACCACAGTCCAACAATATAGTGTGTGTGTGTGTGTGTGTGTGTGTGTGTGTGTGTGTGTGTGTGTGTGTGTGTGTGTGTGTGGACATACTGGTGGGCCAGCCTAATGCCACACTCAGCAACGGGGATCTAGCAATAAGTGCTGCAGGCGGCTGAAAACCTTTGCAAAACTGGTTAATCTTCATGAATTTCATCACCAAAACTGTGCTGTCTACCCTTTTGAGTTCTGTCTCTGAATGTAACGCAGCCATCTTCTGCTGCAGCTACTGAATTTGTTGTAAATACTGCACATTTTGCTGCTAAATAAACTGGGTTTAGCTTAGATTTAACCACGATTATAAAACAAAACACTCATCGCTGAACTCAGGGTCACGCGTATGGCCCGCTTTAATCCATGTAAAAATATCAAACAAACAGTGCAAAAACGGAAACAAACGTCAATGTTTCCACTGCTTTTTTCTGACTGGTTTGCCGAGAGACAGAGACACAGCGAGAAGACACAGAGGAGAGAGACAAGACACATTGATCTAAAGGGTTTTAGTTCTTACATCACTGTGAGAAGCACTCTTCAGCCTCCCCTGGAAAGAGAGCATGTGGTTAATACTTGAAGAAAAGGCCAGGCCCTGATCTGCTGCTAGATAAGAGTCTCCTGCCATTATTTACACAATGTGGACAAATGGACATTGAGGCCACTTGTTTTATTCTCTGAAGCAACAATATAAATATAATTGTGTCCTGAAATGACATGAAGCGGGTTGCTAAAGTAGAACAGTGACAGAAATAACAGTTAGTTGATGCCGTTGCTACTTTTAATCCTTTTTTCATGATTTTTACTTTTATATAATTTATTAATTTCAGAGCAGGGGGAGTCAGGCTGTATAGAATTAGCTCACATGGTATCTAAACAAAGTAAAACACATTTTCTAGACATTAGGAATCCAAATATAAGCCCTCATGAGTCTGTTTCAGAGCCTGGCTGCATCGCTGAGATCAGACCAACTCGTTTCCCACAAAGATGCACAAATAAAGAAAAAACAAAGATGATTAACTGAAATTTGACTAAAAAAAACTAGTCATTGCAAATACATAGACCTGTGTTTGTCAAATACATGCAAACACACGCTTACGATTCAGATTTGAACACACTGACAACGAGTCCATGTGGGTAGATATCTGAAGACTTTAGCTACCTAGAGCTTTTCTCTGTTTCTTTTAAACAAGATAAGTTGGAGTTTTACCAGATTTCTGGGGTAGTGCTTGATAATTAATAATGTTCATTTTAATATTTAATTGCACTTTTCAAAAAGTGTTTTGGACAGTGCATCAAAGCTTCTTGTGTAAACTCCTTAGTAAACTAATATTCTTGGTTTCTATTACGCAGTATTACGTCTATTAACTTTTTATACACAAGATAAACAGGAAATAAAAAAAAACAATAGATCGAAGCGTTGCTGAACCAACTATGAATTTTGAACATGTTGATGGGAACATCAACTTCATCAAGAGACAACAGTTTTAAGAGATTATCAGCAATCATTTATTAAGAGTTAACATTTAAGCACGAATGCTGCTTATAGAACCATCAAAACACTCATTTTTAGCAAAAAAAAGACATGAAACCAAACCAGGACAGACCAACATGACAGGTTTGCAGACACATACGGTGGAATTCTGCGTTGCACAGTATACTGATAGAGGACTGCAGTGTTGAAAAAAGGTCAGATGCAAGCAACAAACCCACAGTAACAGGTAGGAGGGCGGGGCAAAGTTCAAACAGGTAGAAGCGATAGGGTGTGTGTGTGTGTGTGTTGGGGGGGGGGATTAAAGTGGTGGGTCGGATACTGAGATGTCATAGCTAGTCCCATCAGAGTCCTGATTAAAGGAAGAAACAAGGCAACATCATAGGCCAAACAGAAAGACCACTTCCTGTTTCAAAGCAAATTCTAAGAAAGTAAAGGACAGAAATGACGTGGATCTGGGGCCCATTGGAGAGATTTAGGAATGACTCATGCGTCTGTGCTCAGAGTGGAAAAGGGAGAAGAGAGAAGGGACAGATCAGAGCAGTGGGGGGGGGGGGGGGGGGGGGGGGGGGTACAAAACGAGGAGGGGCGGGGACAGGGGCAAGCACGTTTAGCAGAGAGGGGGACCACTGTGGACTGACACACACGCACACACACGCGCACGCACGCACACACACACACACACACACGAGTGCTGTACTTACTATCATCTGTGGAAGGAGAGCGGAGCAGGATGTAATAATAATCACAACAACGACAACACAACCAGAGAGAAGGATCAGTCAAGCTGCAAAGAGCCCCACATCAGTTCAAAACACACGTTTGGGCTCCAACAAATGAGTGGTTTCAGCTGTTTCACATGTCCCTTTTCCCTTTAAATTGGAACAATTTAATTAGTTAAACTCAGCTGCCAGTATTACCACCAGTAGTCATAATACTGTGTATGAAAACGGCACAGATTTGCTGTCTAGTCAGTGACATGAGGCTCTTTTTCTTAAAGCTAATAATCAAACAAAAACACATATATATCAAAACGAAGCAAAAGAAGAAGGAAAAAAGGAGGGCTGCTTTCCATAATGTGTGAGTCTGTTTTGGAAATGGGCCAGATCCTTTGGGTAAAGAAATTTAAGCAACTCGGATAAGAGTTACTCATCAGGCAGGAATCTTTCCAAATCACTGCTAGGTGACATGCTGGAGAGCAGCCAGAAGCTGATGCTGAAATGGTATGGAGCCGCCCCTCTTCCTGAAGCTTCAGGTTAAACACAGTGATCCCGACTGGTAGAATGAATCAAGGCAGCGGGGGTGGGGCTAAATTTACTGTGGAAGGGTTGGGAAGAGGATCAGATGCAATGTGGATGAGAAGCAGAAGCAGTCTGATTCTCTGTACAAGAACATTTAAACGTCTGCTTTTTGCTCGTCTCCTTTCTCGTTTAATGCCGCCTCAGCAGCAGAAGTGTGTGAGCCGATGTTTGTGCACGTGTGTGCTAACGCATGCTACATTCACGTAGAAACCTTCACTCTAGCAAAAACAAAATAACTCGCAGAAAATCAGCATTTAGAGTTCAGTTCCAACATCAGGTATCAGTGAGTGGTGGGTAGAGTCTTTTATGATAATACCATCCAGCAGGTGCTCTCACCGTTTGGTCTGTGAGTGGTGGAAGAACAATGGTTTTCTCCATGGTGTTCATCACCAGCTTCCACAGCTCCTTCAACACACGCTTCAGCACGGTCTTCTCACAGATCTTAGCAAACAAGGACAGGCTGGGCAAGGGGGAGGGGGAGGGAGGGAGGGAGAGAGGGAGAAAGAGAGAGAGAGAGAGAGAGAGAGAGAGAGAGGGACAGAGAGAGAGAGAGAGAGAGAGAGACAGAGAGAGAGAGAGAGGGGGGGACAGAGAGAGAGAGAGAGAGAGAGAGACAGAGAGAGAGAGAGACAGAGAGAGAGAGAGAGAGACAGACAGACAGAGAGAGAGAGAGAGACAGAGAGAGAGAGAGAGACAGAGACAGAGAGAGAGACAGAGAGAGAGAGAGAGAGAGAGAGACAGAGAGAGACAGAGAGAGACAGAGAGAGAGAGAGAGAGAGAGAGAGAGAGAGGGAGAGAGAGAGAGAGAGAGAGAGAGAGAGAGAGAGAGAGGGAGAGAGAGAGAGAGAAATCAGAAATGACATTTTCACAATCTGATACATCTTAGATTTATTTCTTAGGTAAATATTGGTTCACCACAACCCATTGATTGCTGGCGTGTCTCACTGATTTGACCCTTGAACTGCTGAACTTCTTCATATAAAGATGTGGTTCACTGAAAAAACAGTTTTTAAATGTTATCTCTGATTAAAATAGGTTACTCTCAGTTTTTATTGCAGGCTGAACATGAAAATAGTCTCCTACGCCTACACTGCTCAGCATAAATGAGTACACCCCCTTTAAAAAGCCTGAATTTAATCGGCAGCTCAATGAACAAAAGAACAATTTCCAGAATTTTCACAAGGCTGGTTTTATTGAACACTTGTTTAACTCCATAACATAAATTAAGGTGAAATTAAGGTTAATAATATAACTTAGGTCACAAAATCTTCAGTTTTACTAAAATTTGTTGAAGCAAAAATGAATACACCCCATAACAAAAACTACATCTAGTATTTTGTGTGACCACTGTGATTTTCAAGGACAGCACCAAGTCTTCTAGGCATGGAATGAACAAGCTGGAGACATATTGCAACATCTGTCTTTTTCCATTCTTCAAGAAGAAATGTGGCATGACCTTCCAAGCACTACCAGAACAGCGGCTTCCTTTTCAATTTTCAAGAAACTCCTGAAGACCCGGCTCTTCAGAGAGCATCTTCTTAACTAGCACCTTCCCTGCACCCGTCCCCACTCTCTACCATCCACTCCTTTGTTCCCTCCTCTCCGTGACTGATGTCAAGTTGTTGTTGTTGTTAGCCTCAAGGGCAATATGCCGATCATCACTTGTAAGTCGCTTTGGACAAAAGCGTCTGCTAAATACATAAACATAAACCTCTTTTAGAGCCTGGATGCTGGATGGAGAGTGATGCTCAACTTGCTGCTTCAGAATTCTCCACAGGTGTTCGACTGGCTTCAGATCAGGAGACATACTTGGCCATTCAATCACCTTCACCCTGTTCTTCTTCAGAAATGCAACAGTAGCTTTAGATGTGTGTTTTGGATCATTGTCGTGTTGAAAAACTGCGCGACGACCAAGTGCACGGAGTGATGGCAGCATCTTCTCCTTCAGTATAGAGCAGTACATGGTTGAGTTCATGATACCATCAATGAAAGGCAGCTCCCCAACACCAGCAGCACTCATGCAGCCCACATAAGGACACTGCCACCACCATGCTTCACTGTATGCACCATGCATTTCTCTTTCAAATCTTCACCTTTGCAACGCCATTCAGTTTTGAAACCATTAGTTCTAAAAACGGTGATCTTTGTCTCATCTCTCCAGAGTCTAGAGTCCCAGTAGTCTTCATCTCTTTCAGCATGGGCTCTATAGTTATTCCTAGGTAGCTTTTTGGTGCATGGGCTTTAGGAGAGGCTTCCTTCGTGGATGATACCCATGCATGCCATTCCTCTGCAGTGTGCGCCGTATGGTGTCAAGGGAAATGGTCACGCCAGTTAGCTAGTTATTTCTACTGCTTTAGACAACTGCAGTGAACTTGCATGGTGATTTTCTTTAACCCTTTATCAGAAGACGCTCCTGGTGAGATGTTAACTTCCATGGACAGCTCTGTAAAGCCCCCTTCAGACAGGCCATGAAAAACGGAAATGTTCTGGACTCTGTCCGTAAGACCTTTGTGTCTGAATACAAACATCTGGATAACGTTTTCCGTAATTTTACCGGACGACGCCCCTAGTAACAGGTCCGGACTTATTATGGACAAGGTGGCTGCTTCAGACTGGTGAGGTAGAGTTCCAGACAGGGAGGAGGGAGAGGAGGAGGGGACCGGGGGACGCTGTGCGCACCTAGATAGCCCGCTGCTGTAGCATGCGGCAAACCACGGCAGCTCGCCTCCTACGGTACCGCCTAGACGCGCGACGGAGCGCTTCAAGGTCAAGGTCAAGGTCAAGGTAACTTTATTAGTACCCGAAGGTAAATTTGATTTGCCATGTGACATGAGAATTAGCGCCCAGTTACACACACACTCACAAAATATACACACATCCATAAAAATACAAAAAGTATAAAAACAATCCACGAATAAATAGAGATAAAATCAAGTAAAGTAGCCACGCTAGACTCATTTCTTATTGAGAATTGTTACTGCCTCAGGAAATGGGCACCGCTTCAGTGATTCCTTTAACCATTGAGCTTCATCATCCAGGTCTCTTATGCATCATTGTGTGCGCAGAATTATGCTTAACATAAGTCCAACCCCCCCCCGACATCCGGAACCTTTCCCTGCTGCAGCCGAAAGGACAAGTTCCGGTACAAAAGTGGTGTGTCTGAAAACACAGTTCTGGTTAAAAACCGGATTGAATTGTCCACACATGTTCCAGAATGTCTATCTGAAAAGGGCTTAAAGAGCAAGTCAACCCCTACCAGAGTCTAACTCCACTCCCACTTCATGTTTGAAAAATGCAACAAATGCTGTTGCCTGGCAGACCGAGGGGGCGGAGCCGCTAACAAATACACACACACTCAGGCTCACGACAGCATTGTGACATCATAATGTACCAGTTTACATCATAGCATACTTCTTAGCCAATAGCGGTGGCAGATTTAAATTAAAATACAGTGCAGAGTTTTTACCTGACAACGGCACAACACTGCCAGTTTTAGGCAGAATATTTAAATTTTAACTAAGATGCACTGAAGTGCCAAATTATTGACTACACGTGTCTGCAGCACGATTAGACACTCGTTTATTTAGTTTATCAGCAAAAAAAAAGCTTATTTGGGGGTGACTTGCTCTTTAAGATGGTTGCCCTTCCATCTTTCTTAAATGTTTGGATCACCATGCTATAGTATTTTGACTAATATGCAAAGCTTTGCTGATCTTCTTGTAGCCCTCACCATTTTTGTGTTAAGAAATTATTTCCTTTCTCAGATTGTGTGACATTTCTCTTCCACGTGGAGCCATTGCTGACAGCATGAAATGGGAAGGAAGTTGTTTAGTTACGCAATACCCTTTTATAGTCACCTGTCTGCTGGACACCTCTTTAATGAACCATTAGACTCACTTGTGGTTAAATGCCTGTTAATGTGAATTTTGTAGTCTTAAGTGTGGCTTTTCTACTAAGAGTATAATTGGGGTGTAACCATTATTGCAACATGGGCTTGAATGGATTTGTTAGGAAAAATCACTTTCTTGTGTGTGAGAATGAACAAATCTTGTCTGCAATCAACAGCCCACATTTGAGAGCATGTTGTAGTTTGGTATCGTAGAAAGGAAACTAAAGGTTTTCTGACAAATGTAGAGGGGCGTACTCATTTATGCTGAGCACTGTATCTCCTGCATTAGTTTCTGATAGAAAATAGATGGTGAAACTCAAGGATTTCAAAAGCCTGACAGATCTACGTCACACTGTCACTTAACATTCATAAATTCACCCATCTTGACTCACGACGGGGAAGGTTGTAGTTGTTTTAGCGTCCAGGAGACAGCAGAGAACGTCTCAAGTAGTTTAAGCTAACAGTTAGCATTAGTGACTCCACCACACAGCAGAGCTCCTTCTGGCTTGTCTTATTTGTGGATATGAAACTTCAATGTTGCAAAGCAAACATAGTCAGTGAAAGAGTCGTGTTGCTGTCAGCCAATCAGAGGTGAGATGTCCAAAATAGGAAGTAAGACTTCCAAATCCTACAGTCTGAAGCTACTTTCTCCTCCATCTGACTTGTACTTATTGAAACAGGTGCATCTGAACCCCCCAGCCAAGTGCAACTTGGCTACTAGAGACCACTGAAAATGTATTGATTAAATGAGTGTGTAGGCGCCTGAACTGAGGTGAATACAAATAATGGCTATAGTTGCTTAGTGGTTCACTTTTTATGTCACTCTCTATTGATTTAAAGTTGCTTAACTGTTAAATGGAAGTATTATTTAAGTTTGAAATGTGAAATAAGTACAAGATTTGAAGGAAAATGGTTTATTTGTTTTGCATGCTTTAATTTAATGAGCCAGTAGGGGGAGTGTTTCTTTAATTGTGTGAATAAGCAAGAAAAAGAAAAAAAAGGGGAAAAGGTGGATGGAGACTTTTCTCAGACAGACAGACAAGACGGGGAGTGGAGCCAGACAGTTTTTTGACCTCCCTCTGCACTTTAATTCTCCTCTTTACAATTTTGTTTCATTAGCGACTTGTGGGAAAGTATTGAATCGCTTTGTTTTTTGTACCGTTCAATTTTGAGTAAACAGTTAAAACGCAAGTGGACTCTGAGGATTCTTAATCCCTTAATTTTTTTGGATAAAGACGGATGAAGAGGGGTTATGAGAGCGTCAGACCAGTCTCCACATATTTTGGATTAAAAGAGTGAATCACACATTTAAACTTAAACCATAATTTCCCTTTCTTTAAAATAATGTGACATCATCTTACTTGCTATCCAAGAACTCCATGATGGGCTGCAGGACGTTGTCAGCATCTTGCGCCACACTGCTGGCGTTCCCCACGTTTGATGTTCCCTTAACCTGAGCCAAGATGTCTCCCATCTGCTTCACGTTCTCCTCAATATGAGGCTGAAAACTGCAGGAGGAGATGAGGTTCGCTGTGAGATTTGTTCTGCGGGACTTTAGGTAGGAGTGTGTGAGAGCAGGGGCGGCGTTAGGGCCGGCTACTTGGGCTGAAGCCCCGGATGTTTTATGAAAAGCCCCGGATCTAAATCGCGGAAGTAACATGCAGTACCAAAGTCCAACAGAGAGGGAGCAGCTGGCAGTAGTTTGTATACAGCCTGCCTGAGCCTCCACCACTGAAGAAGAAGCCCTTCAGCAGCCGGCTTCTTCTACACTCTCTGCCTGAAACGCATGAGTGAAGATGGACATAAGGACGTTTTTTAGACCAAAAGTACAACGACAGAACCCCAGCTTTGATGAGACTGGTGTTGACTCAGGTTTGTGTGTCTTATTTGAAAATATTTGTTGTGCTGCTGGTTTGCCTAAAGTTAGCTTACTATCAGGTAAAGTTGATGGAGAAAGAAAGGGAATATTTACTATCATCTCACACTAAACACTAACAGGAACTATACTCTGCCCTGAATATGCTTAATATGTAGCTTCAGATGAAAAATTATGTGGTACAAGACATATATATATGATGTTGACTAGTGCGTGTCACGTGTGTGCGCGTGTGTGTGTGTTAATCCCCGGATCTTCTTCAGTCCTAAATCCGCCCCTGTGTGAGAGTGTGTTGGTTCTTTACCTGACTGCAAAGACTCTGCTCAGATCATCCATGACATTGTTGAGCTTAACTTGCAGATCCTTAAGGATGTCACTGGCCTCAACACACAGCTAAAGCAGAATCATGGAGACACACACACTAGAATTATGAGCAATGAACCAGAAAGTACTACTCAATTACTAAAATATGAAGCAGGTAAAGATCAAATTTGATTGGATTGGATTTCTGATCATTTTACCTCTTGGTGCCAAAGTCCACTGAGTGAGCCACAGAAAAGTAAACAGAAACAGGACTACACTAACAGGTACCACTCACATCTTTTCCACCCATAGCTTCAAACATCTTCTCCAGCTGAACCCTCAGCTGTTGGATGTTGTTGATCAGGATGCAGGGCTAAAAAGAAGATGACAGAGACACATGAGATCCAAAAATGTATATTTATTAATGCAGAATCAACTGAAACATCACATTTTTGTCTCAAACGCAAACAAATTTTTGAAAATGACATAAAAAACTTCACGATAACTCTTACCACTTTCTCCATGGTAACATAGTTGGCAAACAGCTTAGAGATGATATCAGCATAAGACAGGAGAACGTTGCTTATGGTCTGGAAATGAGAGAAGAAACAAATAAGGAACAATTAGCTTATAGTGCAAATGAAACTGCATATTCCTGCTGCACTAAAGCCACCTTGGCAAATCTCTTCATGTAGTGTCCTACAATCTGTGGATCCGGACACTCCAACTTTCTGATGATCTCAAAGCTCTGGTTGAGCTGGGAAAACACGTCGACCACCGAGCACGAGAAGAGGGCGTGTTCTGATGTCACCTGGAACTGCAGGGCAGAGAGAAAGGATCAAGTTACAATAAGTGACAGAAAAGAGGTTGGGATTGTTTGTGTCCATCAACCAGGACGTGTTTGTGTCTGTCTCTGCGTGGGATGTCACTGGGACCTCCCAGAGCTGAGCAGCTGGACAGAGATCCAGAGACAGGTGGGGTGCTTCTGTCTCTCTCCGTGTAGCTCCCGGCTTCTAATTGACAGGAGGTGAGTATGTAGGTGTGACCCAGGGGAGTCTGGGTAATGAGGTGAGGACAACTCTCCTCTAGATTAAAGTCATTATTCACAATGTCCTGCTGCAGCACAGCTACTGTATCTTCCTCCACTCACATGCAAGTCTGAGACTGTCTTTTTAGAAAGGAAAATCCACCTGGCGGAGCAGCTGTGGGCGGTTTTGCATTCAAAGCAGAGAGAGAAGGCAGAGTGTTGGGTGCTGAGAGAGGGTGATCAGTGAGGAGCAAAGAGTGGATTACAGTAACTCTGCCAGAAGCAATGACAGTGACTCAGCAGTTTTTCTCAGAAAGCTGAAGGAAAAAGAGCTGGAAAACTTTTTACCCCATCTTTTTTGTCTCTTTCCAAAGCACCATGCAGAAAATCGCGTGAAACCTCCTCGTTTTCATCCAGCCACTGGATGACAAATGGTTCAAACCACCTGTTGATCCAAAAAAGATTCATATTAGTCAACAATGATCCTGGAATTAAAAAAAATCATTTGTGTTTATCTAAATGCATGCATGCTGCTGCAAAGCAGTATTTTACTCACGCAGGATATTCAGGCACTCGGCTCTTGAAAAAGGGCAGGTCCTTGCAGTACTCGTTGTAGAGCCACTTCACCTTGAAGTGCAGATTCATGTAGTCCGCGCTCTTGCACAAGCGGTTTTTTTCATGTTCTGGAAAAGAAGACGGAACAAAATGTCGTTGTTGGGACACAGGGATGTGCAGTGAAGATCGATCTGATGCAAACATAACTAGAAGTCACACACACACACACACACACACACACACACACACACACACACACACACACACACACACACGTTCTGATGAATGATCATTAAGGACAGTTCAGAAAACAGGCACACTTGGTGAAGTTATCAATAATAAATGAGAAATTGGGACAGTTTCATTGTGCAAATGCCTTCAAACCACATTTTCTTCTGCGCTTCAAATGAACCACATTGATTCATAATTATTACCATCCCTTGGTTTAGTAGTTCTGTGTGTTTTATGAAAGTATTTAAACATTTGTCTTGGGATATTTGCAGAATTTGTATGGCCCAGTCCTACTCACTTATATAAAGAACAATGTTTCCACACATAAAAGGTAAAAACTTATTTAAAAGTCATCTCTTCATGCTTTTACCAGCAGACTCTCACCAAGAACAAATTGTTCTCTTCTTGTTTTTACCTGAACTTATATATTAATAAAAACTGTGTTTTTCCACTAAAAGGATTACAGTGATCCCTCGCTACTTCGCGGTTTGTTTATCGCGGATTCACGACTTCGCGGATTTTTTCTTTGGAGCCTTATTCAAGGGAAATTTGCTGATTCGCGGTATTTTTCACCGATTCGCGTTATTTTTCTATGCGAAATATCAAGAAATTCCTGTTTTTTTCATCAATTTCATCATGAAATGCACTTTTTGTAATAAAACTATAAAAAAAAACAAGTAAATAATTTTTTTTCTGAGTCTTACCCACAAAAAGAGAATGTGATCATACGATAATTCAATATAGTACTGTACTGTAAATATGGTGTCCCTACTTCGCGGATTTTCACCTATCGCGGCCAGGTCTGGAACGCATCTACCGCGATAAACGAGGGATCACTGTATGGCCAAAAGGTTATTGTCCAGTTGATGCCTTCAGAAACATCATAATCAGGTTTTTATGAGTGGTTTCAATCAAATAAATAAGAGCCACTCTTGTGTCTTCAGGACAAGCTGTGAGGGACAAATTCCCCAAAGAGATCATTTTAAAGTGTTTTCATTGCTTAGACGCATGTGTGAAATCGCAAATCCCTTAAGTTTAAATACAATTTTCACAATTTAATGATTTATTCGTTAGTTTAAACTTTCTTAACAAACACTTGATTTAAAAATGTGTACGACTTAACTGAAAATGAGTAAAAACAAACAAATCTTTGACTTGGAATCTGTGCTTGAGCTTCAGGACGTTCATCCTTTAGGTCACGATTCCCCACAAAAACACCACAAATAACAATCTTCTTATTATAATAGATATAAACAGAAGGATGTTATCTTTGTCAAAGATCTGCATCTGTAACAGAAGCTAGACGCTCACCTTCCATGGCGTACTTCATATCCTGAGCAAACAGGTTCCACATCACTTCAGCACTTATTTTACCCACATTGAGCTCCTGAGGAAATCTTAGAAGAAAAGAAAAATCATATTTTAGCATATTTATCAAACCAGAGCAGTGTGAGGATGAATGATGTAAAAACCTGATAAAGCAGTGTAGGGTAAATGAAAGACAAGCACACATACTGGTTTAAGCAGGGAGTGTAGGAGTTTTTGTCTTCCTCAATGATGGAGACGATGAGTGTGATGAGTTTGGACCAGAAGTCCAGATTCTTGATGCTGGGTCCTTGCTCCTCTGGGGGCACAGCGCCCTGTTTGGCCTGGAGAAGCAATTATTTACAGTCAATACAGACTTCCTGTCAACAGTTACTTTCTCTGTTGCAAAGTTTTTGAAAGCAAATGAAGCCCATAATATTTATTTACTCATAATTTACAAAATCTTACTGTGTGTTTTATACAGCTGGCATTCAGAAACATTTTGTTTTGTAGAATTCAGCAGTGTTGGGAGTAATGTGGTACAAAAGTAATTAATTACTGTAATGCATTGCTTTTTGCTGTAATGTGGTAATGTAAGGCATTACAGGGAAAGAAAATGGTAATATTTACTCGGTACAATTGTCAGTAACGCGGTAATTACAATGCATTTTTAAACCCAGAATCAAGATGTGTTCCTTAAAAATTCAAATTGTGGGAAACCCGAAGAAAGATCCAGTATCTGCATATATTACGTCATTTATGGACTCAGCTTTGCGGGCAGAGAGGACGCAGCGGTAACGGCTCAACCACTCCAGCTGCATCCTGCACGCGGCCGCTGTTATATTCACAAAATCGCTCCACCAAAACAAAGTAATTCACTTGCGATTGTTCATATCAGCGCATGTTCTCTGGTATTTTGTGCTTTTCTGACGTGCTTTGCCTCAGCTGAGTTCATAATCTGTGCCCCGGTGATTTCAACTCATTACTGCTGGAGCGCTGCACATGTGAAGATCCCTTTGGCTGATAGAAAGTAGGAAGTCTAGGAAACAGTTTTTTTTCTGAAAGACGGAGAAAACATGCAGCAAGCAGGAAGGTTAGAGAGAGAAAGGGCAGGAAATTATTCAAATAAAATAAAGAAAAAAAGAAAAAAGTAGGTAGATTTATCCCCAATACACATTTTTACCAGTGAAAAGCAAAAATATATAAGCATTTAATATTTATACATGTGATAGAATCAGATCACCCCAGAAGTCAGTCCCACATCCAGGGCCGTATCAAGGCATTTGGGGACCAAGGCAAATATAGGCTTGGAGCCCCCACCACCTCACTCCCTGCTCAGTTAATATAAGATGGCAGCGCACTGAGAGTACAGATTGTTGTTGCTTTTATTTAATAAACAATCATTTTAAAGCACTGTTATTATATCTGACTGTTTTTAACAGCAATCCTAGCTCAGACACCACATCACTTTCCACATATACGTCATGAGCTCACTGAGCATCAGATTACCAGATTCATATTGAAGTTGTTTTGGTGAAAGTATCTTAAAATTAATGCAAAAGTAGTGTAATGCCTTACATTTTAAAATCAGTAATATTGTAATGTAATGAATTACTTTAAAATGAGGGTAACAAGTAATAAATAATGCATTACAGTTTTTGAAGTAACTTGCCCAACACTGGAATTCAGTGACCGGTTTCCTTGTTGATCGGATTGAAGAATAAAAACATCCTTTCTGAGCTCCACGAGCCTTGTTTGGCTGTCATGTTTTGCTGTTTTGCAGCTTGAGTTTCTTTTGTTGAACATTTCCTTTTTGAACTTCTGTTGAACCTGCAGCTGTCTGTCAGCTTCCGTTCTTTTTCTTTAAGGTTTTCTTGAGCCTGCTTCCATCATGGCAGCTGCTAAAGTCAGGGAACGTTTTTCATTTGTCTAATTCTAATTTACCCAACCTACTTCAGCATTTGACCCAAAAACTAAACTCAGCACATTTAGGTGGACATCTCAGGTCTGAACCTGAAGGACACAGAAGCAGAGGAAGATGTAAAGAAGAATCAACTAGTACAGTATGTACTTTACATTAACTCTGCATTTTTAAAGGGTTTTAGAACAACGTGTCATATTTAATCCACTTTGGTTTAAATTATTGCTCTGAATGAAGGACACTTTTGTTTCATCTGTTTTTTTTTGTTTTTACCTCCCTGCTCAACACATTCTCACTTTCTGTTTGTTCGCGACTCACATGTTGGATGTGAGAAATAAAGACACAAGAAAAGCATCTACAGGTTAAAGAGTGGATTCTGCTTTCAAGTCCTCTACAGCTAGAAAAGTCAAAGTTAAACAACGTCTACCACTGGAGGGGATAATTAGTCAAATGCAATTAACGTCAATGAGAAATCTTTCTTTCTGATGCTGAATTTTGACTATGGTTTAAATTCAACAGCTCACTGAAATTCAACGTTTACATTTTGAAAAAAGCTTTAATGTCAACCGTCTCGTTGACTTAGTGATAGCTGCAGGGGTTAAAGTGTGAGGACTGATCCTGCAGAGATTTCAACAAAATCTCACCCCGTCCCTCAGGATGAAATGTTTTATTCAAAAGTAAAAAGGCTTATCTGAAATTCGCATGAGGCGCTTTAATGAACGCTTAAAGCTAGTTCTAGAAATCTTTGTTGAAATCCACGACAGGAGTTGTGGTTTGAAGAGCCTGAGAGTGAAGATGATGAGAACACACACAGACATATAAAGGTTCAAACACACAGAGACGTCACACAGCATTAAACACTTCAGATAAGGACAGCTCAGCCATGCAGCAAGGAAGATACACCAAATAGTTTAAAATCTGATGTTAGCCTAGATCTGGACAAGTGGGGGAGTAGAGGGAGGTGGAGTGTACAGTCGGTAAAGACGGCTCTCCCTTGCCCTGCTTCCAACATGCCTCCATCTAAAAAGGCTAGGTTATCCAGAGTTATCTCTGTAGTTATGCTGCTATAGGCTTAGACTGCTGGAGGATACACTGACCACTTCTCACACTCTACTGCTTTCTTCTACAATCTGCTCTTTAACTGTATTATTTTCTGCTATTTTAGCAGTTAACTTTATTCTCTCTCTAAGTGTTTTTCTCCCCAGAAGAAGCTACAATGATGTTCTGCTGAGCTGTGGTGGCCTCATGGAGGGGGCCATCGTCTTACACACTGCTGCTAACCACTTAAACATTCTCCCTCTCCTGATAATAACTTTTTGCTTTCCTTGACGTTGGATGTGCTACTACTAGTTTATCCGTTTAATTATACATCCACTAGGATAAATACAATAAATTTTATCTCTCACCAAATAGAATATTTACTAAGAAATCCCAATGTAACCATAGACACATTACTCGGTGTGTGTGTGTGTGTGTGTCTGCTCTGTCTTCTCGATCCCCAGTGAATCGTGGAGGATGGCTGCTTATACTGAGCCAGGATCCTCGGGAGGTTTCTTCCTGTTAAAAGGAAGTTTTCCTCTCCACTGTCACTATATGCTTGCTTACCCCGGCTTTCCACGGGAGCCGTCAGCAGCACGTTACTGCAGCAGCACGTCATAGCTGCTGATAGGAACCGCTGTGGTCAACAGAACCTTTTCCACTGGAGCCGTCAGCAGCGCGAGTCGGACGCGTCTCAGGAGCAGCATGTCGCGGCCTTTACGCGCCGGTTCTATTTTCTACGCGCGACGCCTCTGAAACGGGTCAAGTTCGACATTTTTGGGGAAGGAAAGACAGGAAATCGGACGCGGAAATGGAGAGAAGCTACAGAGATTTTCAGAATAAAGAACGTGCTGCCTTCCGTTTGCTTTACTTTTAAAAAATGTTACGAACTGTGCGGCCCCGTGAGAAGTTATCACCTAGCTAGCGGTCTCCTTTGTTTTTCAGGTCCGTATTGGCGATTATAAAACGGACAGAACATAAAACACAAACCATGTTGTAGTTTTCTCCTGCTTGTTATTGTGTTTACTGACGAGGTCACTCGTGTGACTTCGTGCTCGGTCGGTGACAGCTGCTCCCCTGCTGCTTCGCGTCTCGTGGGAAGGGCCAAGCAGCAGTTTACGCGAGCAAGACGTGCTGCTGCAGTAACGTGCTGCTGACGGCTCCCGTGGAAACCCGGGGTTAGTATGACGATTGCTGTAAAGTCACTGACACTAGTCAGTGACTTGATGCAATTTCCTGGGTTCCTTCCATAGGAAACACTTTTTCTGATTGGCTTAATGAACTGACCTGAATTGGAATGTTTATTATGTGAAGTGCCTTGAGATAACTCTTGTCATGATTTGGCACTATATAAATAAACTTGAATTTAATGTCTGTTCTCATTTTGTTAGAGATTTGAAAAAGTGACAGAAAGAAAGAAAAATGTGAGCATGAAGACCCCCGGTGTTCATGATGGCGTTTCTAAATCAGTAAGTAGCATTGTGTTCTTTCTAGACCAGCACTTCTTTTTATTTTCCAGCAAGTCCTTGAATTTCACAACAAGGTGCATGCTGAATCCTCTCTCCCTGCATTTATTTGTAGATGCAACATCTTCAATCATCACTGAAACAGATGATTTATTAGACTTTTCCAGACATGCCTGACCTGTTTGTTGGGCAAAAGGAGATCTGAGGCACTCCTGAGTGCCTCAGATCTCCTTTTGCCCAAGATTCATGTGGATCCCTTGGCTGAAGAGCACCAGTGAGAGCAACAGATAAAAATTTCTTACACTCCTGCAGCACTTCCAGCATTTTTTCTGTTTTCATGCCTGACCTCTTTTTGTGATGGCAACAGTTCTCATTGCTGCTTTTTCAAATTTCATCTGCTGGTTTGCAAACTCCACAGGCTCTCAGGAGACAGTAAATAATTTCCACTAAAGCCTAGTTTATATGTATCTGTCAGCAACCAGCAACGCCATCATCCATCCAGGCAAGCATCCTGTGGCAGGTCCCCACAGAGCGACGAAACAGGCCCAATTTTTTAAATGTCAGTTGAAAGCCACTGAGAGTGCAAGCCCGTGATTGGTCAGCATGCCACTTCCTTTAAATTCATCAGTGGCACTGTCTTTTCAAAAGAAAAACTAGTGCTGAAGATGTCTAGCTGCAGACGTGTCAGGGATCGGGCTGGCCGGCGAGGTGGGACCGCTCAGTTTAGATTGTGGCGTGTCGGTTAGGACTCAGACGCAGAATCAAATTAAAATCAAAATTTATTTATCAAGTGCTTTTCATGCAAATGCAGCTCAAAGCACTTTACAATATTAAAAACCAGACAGCAGTCGGTTTCCCACCCCTCCCACACAGATTCACACAAGTTTCTTTTTCTCCCTCCTCCCACCCTCAATCCCGTCCCAAGCAGATTCAAAACCCTGCACGCACACACACACACATACACAAACACACCACACACACACCACACGCACATGCACACACATAATCAAAGAAAGGGCAGCTGGCTGAGTGCAGATGTAATGTATATAAAGAAGACAAAAACGCCACCAAAGGAGCCAACTGCACCGGGAGCACCAAGACCGGCAGCAACAGCCTTGGTAAGAGTAGGCAAATGAAGCACCCTGGCCACCACAGTCCACCGCTGCCCCCGGGGCAGCCGGCCCCCACAGATGAAACACTAGTTTACTAAGATAACAGTTAAGAAACAAATTAAACATAAACAGTTGATAAATAAAAATCTAAATAAAACAGTGATAAAAGATGACCAAGTAGAAACATATAATTACATTTAAAAAATATGTTACCACAAAGTATTAAGACTGGTTAAAATCAATAATTATTACAAGTTAAAATAAATATGTAAGAAAATGTGTGTTATTTAATTAAGTAAGTAAGTAATAAAACACTGATAAAATATATGTTGAAAATAAATAAATAAATAAATAAAGAGGTAAAAACTGGCTAAAATTGATCATAATCACTTAAAAGCTATACTAAAAAGGTGAGTCTTGAGCCTGGCCTTAAAAACAAGAACACGCAGAAGTACTAGCGCTGGATGTAATCCAACACAAGTTTAATCTAGTAACTCCTGAACATGTACCAATGGGAACAGCAGCACCAGGAGTTAGGGAGGGACTAGTAAAAGGATGGATGTGATCTAAACTGGAAAGGCACCGACATGAACTGGTGAAATGGATGACTGAGCGTTGACCAGGTGAAGACCTTTATGGGTGTTCACGATTATGTGACCGCTGCTGACTGACAACATGGAGCAGATGGAAGAGCGTCTTGCAGAAGAAGTCCAACGACATGAATATTTATGAAACCCATCCCTGATTGAGAACAAAGTTCAAGCTGAGTCTATGCTTTTATTTATCTGCACTTGTCTGCTTGTAACACAGACTACAGTTTACTATGTGATTTCCAGGTGGACTGAGAGGGCGGTGCTGCTGCAGTGACTGACAGCACCCCACACCCCCCACCTCTGCTTGGATAATTTTTGTCGGAGGAATGAGCTACTAACACACACCCACGCACACAAACAGACACACACACACCTCGCTTGGACAGAGAAATAGCAGCAAACATTCTCTGGTGAAGAGTTTCTCTCCACCTCCTTCACCAGAGGAAGGAGAAGAACAGGTGGAAGGTGTTATGGAGGAGGCGAGCAGCCCTGAGCCGTATAGTTTCATTTTGGCTCGTGGGTGGTCAACCCAGCCGGAGGCGTGGTCCTGTGTGGTGCAGCTACGTAAAATGGTACTGGCTAACGTCACAAGTTATCACTGAGCCAATAGCGATGGCTGACTCAAATTCAAATGTAGTGTATGATAGTAGTGCAGACTTTTAACCTGAAAAAGGCGCTACACTAACGGTTTTAAGCAGAATATTTATAATTTACATAAGAGGCACTAAAATGCCAAAATAAGGACTGCACTTGCCTATATCAGACACTCCTTTATACCGTTTATCAGTGAAAAAGGGTGACTTGGGGGTGAATTTGGGTCTCAGTCTGGCATTGCTGCTTCTTACCGGGTCTGTTTGATATTCACGGCTGTACAGCTCGTGACAGTTGTTGAAGATGTACTCGTAGGTGGAGTTGAGGCAGGCCTTGACACAATCCTTCACAACCTGACTGGCTCTGGGTGGAGACTGGAGCTCTTGAACCTGAAAGCACACATTGAGTTAAACCTTCGTTTCCTCAGGATTCTCTTGATAAAAAAAAAGTAAATAAATAAATTAAAGGCAGATTGTATGAGAAAATGTATTACTATGGTTGTTTTTCATATTAATATTTTTTATCTGTAAGAGTTTTTGGGATGAGTTTGCATGTTCTCCCTGTGCATGTGTGGGTTCTCTCCGGGTACTCCGTCTTCCTCCCACAGTCCAAAAACATGACTGTTAGGTTTTTACCTGTAATCTGTCTAAATTGTCCTCAGGTGTGAGTGTGTGTGTGTATGACTGTGTGTCCTGTGTGTATCTGTGTTGCCTGCCCTGCGATGGACTGGCACTCTGTTCAGGGTGTACCCCGCCTGATTGCCCGTTGACCGCTGGAGATAGGCACCAGCAACCCCCCCCCCCCCCCCCCCCCCTTCAGGTGAAGTGAATAAAAAGGATATTACTAAGTGTAAAGAAGGGATGTACCTTCATTCTGAAGAAAGTGATACTTGTGAGGAGATCCACTGTGGACTTGAGGTCCTGTAACCTCTCTGGACTGCTAGCTGGGAAGTTATTCTGCAGTAAAAGACACACATACTAAGCCACAACACACGATTTCACATCTGCAGTGGTCCCATGTGTCCATGGGCAAGATCCTACAAGCACACACAATTATCACTGCCAGCTCTCATCCCTCTGTGTGGGTGTGCTGTGTTTCCTGGCTGAGGAAATGTCGCTCTAATTAACCCACTGCTTTGTGTGTTTGCTGTTTCTAACAACACATTGACATACACATACTGTATTTGTGTGTATGAAGAAATGGAAGGAATTGTAGATCGTGCAGGAAATGAGGTGCCAGTGAAATGAAGAGGGATCTCACCCTGTACATGGACAGGTCTATTCTCAGGGAGTTGTGCAGCTGGTCTAGAAGCTTGACAAATCGCTCTTTCTGTGGGTGAAACAAAGCTGATTTTATTATTGATCATTAATAATAAGAATCATTGTGGAAAAACTGAAACAGGTCAGACCTATTAAAATCAAAATGCATCATGGTACTTCAGATTTTTTTTAACACACACATGTTAAACAGAATAAAAGGGTTGCATCTGCAGTAATTTTGATGTGTTCTTTTGTTCATCTTTACTCTGACTTTATTTGACTCACTCCAAAGTTTGAAGCAGCGAAGCGGTCGGAGGCAGAGACATTGTTGGTTGCCTGAGTGGTGTGGGCGTAGTAGGCGTTGATGTTGGCCAGCAGGGTGCTCATAACAGCAGGAACACCGGGGCACATGTATTTAGAAGACAAGCAGGCAAAGTGGCTGCAAATGAAGTTAAACAAAAAAGGCTCAAAACACTAATCCCAACACACGAAAGCAGCCAAACACCAGCTCTAATATTCAGCTTTTTCCTTCCAGACATACGTCATGGCCTGGTAGATGGACTCTACTCCATAGCGCATAGCAAACTCATCTACTATTTCCTGTGGTGTCTCCTCAAAATAGACCTTCCACGCATCATCGCCTTTGGCGTCAGGGATCTTCACCACACCGGTGTTCTGCATGTCGGTCACGTAATGAAAGAGGTTCTATAGAAAGAAAAGGAAAGTGATTTTTACCAACTCGCTCAGTTGTAATCATATTTTATATACGTATAACTGCACTAAGAGCACACTAGGAGCACTCAGACCGCTGTGTCTGTTGGCTCGGATGCAGAAAGAGCCATAAAACTACTTATGAGGCCAGCACAAGGCGCTCTCTCGGTCGTAAAACGTTACAGCTCAGTAAAGCACTCCGAGTGGGTGCATGGGTACTTATGGGAAGCAATAAGAGTGGCCATTTGTTATTTAAGGTTCACCTAATAGACTCGGTTGAGTAATGAGCCAAGTAATGACTCCATTCAGCTCTAGGAACGCTCAACAATCAATCAGGTGAGTTTTCTGCACAGAGCCAGAGCAGATACGAGCCCAGCATCTTAAGAAGTGGTGCTTGTGCCAAACTTCACACAGTATTAACTTGGATCATTGATGGAAGCAAATGTCAGTGAGGTGAATTAACCTGCTCACCGTGGCCAGGGGTGGACTGGGACTAAAATTTGGCCCTGGCATTTTTACGAATCATCGGCCCTCAGTCGGCCCTCCCCATTGGGAGAGCGGTGGGGGTGGGGGGTGTTGCTGTCCGCGGACTCGTCTCTAGGCCGAATGCGAGCTCTAATATGGACTGGGACTGTTAAATTACAAGCAGGGCCAGACCGCTGCGACCGGGAGCCCTGGCCTTCCAGACCAGCTCATTCTCCACGGGCGGAGATCAGCGCGACATTAGCTACATGCTAAAGCGGTAAAACAACTCCTACTTCATCGTTCTACCGTGTTTTTCTTGCTAAAAATGCCTGGAAAAACTGTTAGCTTCAGGTTACCATGTAGCTAATGTTCTGCAGATCACCAACTGTGGAGTAGTGTCGGCCCAAGCTGGGCAAGCAGCCCACGTGGCTAAGCGGCCCACCGGGACAGTGCCAGAATGCCAGATAGGCCAGTCCACCCCTGACCGTGGCTCATTGGCACAGACTGGTGCAAAGGGTTTCTGTTATATCCCAGTTTCGAACTTTATTTGAACTATTATAGAATATGAAGAGAAACGCAAATGATTTACTGAAAGTGAGGCTGAACGGATCTACGTGCAAATGGAGTTTTGTCAGAACTCATTTACCTCCACACCCATTTTAAAACAACTTCCAGATCCTTCACAGGGGTTAGAGTAGCTCAGACCGGACGGTTACAAAGCCTGAAGCATACATGTGTCCGGCTGGAACTGAGTGAATGTTTTCCAGGAGGGGAAAACCAATGAAGCCTTGTCATGCAAAAAGCTGAACACAAACACAATTTCTTTGCTTTTCATAAAAAATGTTTGTCACACTGTCGAAGAAGCTGTGCATTAAAATCACAGATTTACCATCTGGCCAAATAGACCAACAGCAGCTGCAAGCAATAGCTTACAACATAGATCTGATCATAGTAAACAAGGTGAAAAATCTCAGTGAAATTTTGAGTTTTAATTACATTTTTTGAACCGTATGCACAAATTGGGGTGTTGGTTGAGTAAAAGCTGCCAGGTTATGAAGGTCTGAATGGTGACGGAGCTTAGGGGACAAAGAAACAGCTCGGTCAAATAAAAGAATAACATGACGCTCTGTTTTTAAAATTAAAACCTTGAACTTGCACTCAGTTGCAGCTTTGGCCAGCTGCTGAAAGAGATTCATGAAATGTTTTGGATATACAGGCAAACAGAAGTGTAATCTGAATGGATGACTTTACTCGCTTCTGAGTAAAAATCACCACCATCAAAAAAAAATAGAGGATGCTTTAGTTATTTCTGAGTTGTGGGTCACTGCAGGAGTTTGACAGAAAAAGCAGAGCAGAGGGCATCAAAATGTAGCCTCAGAACAGCAGAATCACACAGCTGAACTCACAATAATTTAAGAGAGACTGAGCTTACCTCATGCAGACACGTGTACTGAACGTGATATGGGGCGACTGTCTCCTCTCCTTTGATCTCTACATTAATGCGCATGCGGATAGCTCCGGACACCGCCGATTTGTCGGTACGTTTGTCTGGCAGCAACAAAAACATACGGGCATCAAACTTGGTGCTGGAATTGACTCAGCGGTTAAAACAGATTATTCAGACTTAAAGCTGTTGTACAACAACATAACAGGTCAGTGAGACGCTGTGAGGTCATTACAGGGTCAGCGAAGGAGGACTCAAAGATCAACTGACCCAGATTGTACCAGACATCCATCTCCCCGCTCAGGGTGCGGACCTCGATGATAGTTTGGCCGAGGAAGTCGTCGGACTCTCGCTTGAACTTCTGCTTCACACGAGACTTAATGTCATCGTCTTCGTCCCACACTCGCACCTTAATGCGGTCGGAGGAGTTGTGGCATTCACTGAAACAGACAGAAGCAGACACAACGGAAAATAACTAAAGATGTTTCATTTGAATCTTTTTAAAACATCAGCCACTCACAAATTAAATGTTTCCTCCCAGACAGGGTTGAGGTTGCCGTAGATGGTTTTGGTTCTCTTTTTTGTCTTCCCCACCTGGACGGTTACGTAAGGATCACTGGAACCGGTTTTATCCTTGGCCTGAAGACCCTGAGCACACAGCACTAAGAACAAGACAGAGACCTGAAGTGTCACCTGGGTCGGATTAGCGTTTGTTTCCTTTTACAGACCAAAACATCTGTCACAAGCCATCTACTCTGACGCTGACACTGACCACGTCGGTCAGGTCCCATCAGATCCACTGTGACTCCCCTCTCACCTGTGATGCAGATCTTGGCTGACCATTTAGAGGTCCCGTCCAGCACACTCTGTTTAATCTGCTTCATGTGGGTGACATGAGTGGACTTGATGACAGCAAACACTTCCTGAATGAGTTCAAAGATCTCCGGCTTGTTCCTCTCGCGGATCTTCATACGATCCTTAAGAACCATGATGATGTTCTGAGTCCGATCCTCCGCGCCATGTTTAGAGCTCTTCTCTGCTGCTCCTGGTTAGACGATGGTGATACAAACATCTTAAATCAAACAGAAGTACCGTCAGATGATGCTTTACTGTTGTAGTCACACAACAAATGATACCAGTTTAAGTTAACAATTAAACATATGTTTCTAGTGTCGAGCAATGAATGAAAATCTCCGATTTATTTCACAAATTAGACGTAAAGAGACCTCTAGAGCAATGAAATGCTTAGAAACACTGAGACTGAAATGGGAAAGGTCAATGATGACAGAAGAAAAACAGCTTTAATAAGATAAAAAATAAGATAAGAAGCAGGGCTGTCTGGCTTTATTAAAAGTAGAAATAAATGTAGATGATCTTCTTTTAGAAATATAAAAAACATCTAAAACATTTATTCTGAAAAGGTCTTTAAAACAACATAAACACATCTGTAATTAACCTTCAGATGTATGAAACACTGAGCAAATAACAAGAAAGAAAAATCTGTACATAATGAAACTGCATAAATAAAAGATTTTATGTAGCTATTGAGCTAATGAGCTAATTTCATCTACCATGAGTTTATATAAAAACCAAGTTCACTAGTGTTTAAACATGTGAGTCATCTCTGTGGGGACAAAGGCTCTTGTGCTCCTGTCTCAGCAGAAGGGAGAACACGAAGGCAGGATTTGGAATTTTACTCTTCATTTTTTCCTGATAATTGGACTTCTCGCCTCTGATTGGCTAACAGCAACGTGACTCTACCACTGACTGTGTTTGCTCTGCGAACTGGACACTAAATCAACAACAGCCTTCCCCATCGTGAGCCAAGATGAGCAAGTCCATAAATGTTCATTTGACAATAAGATGTGCAGATGCCACTCGCCACAAGCAAAAGTTTGATTCATTTGCTTTAAGGTTTGCAACATTCATGAGTCTTTTGAGTAAATGTTACTTAATTATTCATGTTATTAGTACTGTTTTCTAATAAAATTATGTTTAAATTCTTAATAATAATAATTCCAAACACTTTGCTTACTCTGCAGACAGTCAGCATTGAGCAGGTCTTGGCACTTTTCGTGGCACTTGACTCCACATTCAGTACAGCGCATGCCCTGGCGGGCAATGCCCCACAGCAGGCCTTCACACTCATAGCAGTAGGTGGGCGTGGTGGCCGTCCACACCTCAAAGTTGTGTGGAGTGGTGCAAGAGATGGGATATATGAGGGCCTGGAGGGTCTTCTTATAGACATGACACTTCTACAGAGGTACAGAACAAATGAGTTAATGCCAGAGTTAGTACTCTTGTATTTTAAGTCAAATGTTTTGAGAGAACGGACCAGCTCTTCATTGTGCAGGGTGCTGGACGTAAGAGCTGAGGTGATACCCGCCTTTCTGGAGTTCTGGACCAAAGACTGGAACAAGACGGGGACAAGGGGGTCAAAAAACACTTTTTTTCCATTTAAAATATGTCTGAATTCTTCAGAGTAAAATAACAATCCTGCAACAAAAACTGATAATAAAAGAAAGTTTCTTTAAGAATCATCCCTTTAAAATCCAGCAAATGTTCATGTGTACATATTTAAGCAATGTAGAGCTGCCACCCACGTAAAATATCCCATTATAACATCTTTACTTTATTGTTCTTTATATATAATTTTCATTTTTGCACAATATAAATATCACATTCGTACATTATAATATGTATATTGTACAAACATTGGAACAATAAAGTTATGGTGTTATAAGGTGACATCGCTCTAATTACATTTAGTGTGGTTGGCCGCTCTATGCTCCCGCACATATTACTGTTCATACATGTATTAGATTTGTTGCACCATTAAAAATGACAAGTTTATATTTCTTGTTTTTAAAGACTGCAGAGGAGACACAAAGTGACACCTCCAAGTGTTGGTGCTGTAAATAACACTCACCATTGCCTGTGGCAGTAGAGTGGGGAGGGAAAAGAAGTGGGACACATTTAATTTCAGAAAGGGCAACAATAAAAACAATGTCAAGAAATATTTCACAAATCTTAAAGAGTTTTTCACGTATGATTAAAAAAGACCAGCCAAGGTAAAAGTTACATCAAATTTAGTTTTAAATGGCATGATCAAGCAGCTCATTCAACAGATCCAATGACTAGTAGAAATAATGAATGAATAATATAATATTCGTCTTTGAGAAAGAACCCCGTTGTGTCTGATTAATAATTAATAATTGAGACAATTTATTAAACCCTGTGAGTGCACGTGTGTGTGTGTGTGTCTACCTGTTGCTAGATGCTTATTTATGCTAGAGAAATAACTTCAGTGTAATCAGCTGGTGCTCCTGTTAAGATTTCCCTAGAAGTGGATCTTTACAGTAGAGTAGAGTAGAGTAGAGTAGAGTAGAGTAGAGTAGAGTAGAGTAGAGTAGATCCTTTATGGACCCACATCAGGGATATTTTAACATACCAGCATATAAAGTATACAATAAGATCAAATGAAATCAAATCTAATGACAACGTTATGAAACAACAACTGTGTGTGTGTGTGTGTGTGTGTGTGTGTGTGTGTGTGTGTGTGTGTGTGTGTGTGTGTGTGTGTGTGTGCATGTGTAAAACTGAATGAAGAGTGGAGAAACTTCTACAACATAACTCACAGGGATAATCCACCTTGATTAAATGAATTCTGGGCAGTTACTTTGCTTCATTTAGCATGAAGAGCGCTAAAGGCAGCAGCTTTTATACCGTAGATGTCTGCAGAAGTCTGCCATGCTTTATTTTTGAGTATGCGCTCAGACCAGGGAGTAAAAACAATGAGCTGCATGACTTGGGAGAGGTTAACCTGATGCTCTTCTTTCTCTGCTTCTGAAAGACAAACTAATTGTGCAGTAGTCTCAATTTACACTTTCTTCTCCCAAGGATTTGTGTTTATCACAGTCAAATAAGCACTGAGGCAGTGTTAGAAAGGCGTGGGGTTGATGGCTAGAGAGTGTGATAAAAACCTTATAGATGAGAGCGGCCAGCAGACATGAGCATTAGTCAGAATCTGCAGCCTTGCCAGCAGCCTCTCAACATTACAGCTCATCCTGTCAGACTTTAACCACTGGGAAATGCATATCAGCTTAATAAAAAGGCTTCGGTGGGCTGAAACACAGACAGGAAGACCATTCGATTCAATTCATCCTGTCTTCTTTCCTCTGTTTTGGTTCTTTTGTTCAATGTGAAAAATAAAGGATTTTTGCTGCTTATTATAAAGTGATGAAGACTGCAGCCGACAGTCGAAAAACGTCAACTCAAGTTAAAAGAAACTCGTCTGAGAAAAAGAACTTGACAACGAGACAAGAGGGAAACTAAAATGTTGTCACACGGTAGGACTGAAGGCAGAGCCTCGGGAACATGAAACGTTTGGACATCAGCAAAGAAACTCACCAGATCTCTGACCAGAGGCATTGCTTTCCTCTTCCTAAGGTCTGGCATGCTGTCGATGCTGTACAGAGCACCACCCATGCTGGGCAGAAAACACACATAAACATCAGTTTTATGTCCACCAGCAGCTGTCAGTGACAATCAGAACACAAGAAGTTGGTTACACAACAGACTCGTATTTGTTTAGGAAGTTAGCCATAATGGTGGTAACTCACCCTGCTGATAAAAGCAGGGAGGCGATCCCAACACTTTCTCCTCGGGCCTGGGGAGAAGCAGACAAGTGGAATGGGAAAGTCAGGAAAAGAGAGATGAGGTTTGTTCGGTCTTTTAAATGTCCACAAAAGACCTGGTTTTATGTTTTATGTCAAAAAGTTACAAAGAGTAACTGTGAGAGTGGTGTAACAGATAGGTATCCATGTAAGTATTCCTTAATTCTTTCTAATTCATTACTGAAGGGCATGGTCTTTACCTCTTAAAAAATGCCAGACAAACATCAACATCACAGAAATAATCTTGGCTAGAACCAGGGATGTCCGATATTATCGGTGTACCATTAATATCAGCCGATATTGGCATTAAATATAGAAAATAATTGGTATCGGTTTTCAGTATTTTAATTACATATTTCTTCAATTGAATTCAATTTATTTACACTGCTCAGCATAAATGAGAACACCTCCTTTAAAAAGCCTGAATTTAATCAGCAGCTCAATGAACAAAAGAACAATTTCCTGAATTTTCCCAAGGCTGGTTTTATTGAACACTTGTTTAACTCCATAAATAGATTAAGGTTAATAATATAACTTAGGTCACAAAATCTTCAGTTTTATTCAAATTGGTGGAAGCAAAAATGAATACACTCCACAACAAAAACTATATCTAGTATTTTGTGTGACCACTGTGATTTTCAAGGACAGCCATGTCTTCTAGGCGTGGAATGAACAAGTTGGCGACGTATTGCAACATCTGTCTCTTTCCATTCTTCCAGAAGAACCTCTTTTAGAGCCTGGATGCTGGATGGAGAGTGATGCTCAACTTGCTGCTTCAGATGTCCCCACAGGTGTTTGGGTTCAGATCAGGGGACATACTTGGCCATTCAATCACCTTCACCCTGTTCTTCTTCAGAAATGCAACAGTAGCTTTAGATGTGTGTTTTGGATCATTGTTGTGTTGAAAAACTGCACGACGACCAAGTGCACGGAGTGATGGCAGCATCTTCTCCTTCAGTATAGAGCAGTACATGGTTGAGTTCATGATACCATCAATGAAAGGCAGCTCTCCAACACCAGCAGCACTCATGCAGCCCACATAAGGACACCGCCACCACCATGCTTCACTGTATGCACCATGCATTTCTCTTTCAAATCTTCACCTTTATGAACCATACAGTTTTGAAACCATTGGCTCCAAAAACCATTGTATAGAGTCGTCATGGCGATTTTCTTCAAACCTTTATCATAAGACGCTCCTGGTGCTCCTGGTGGTTAACTTCCGTGGACAGCCTGAAGGTCTCTGTAAGATGGTTGCGCTTCCATCTTTCTTAAATGTTTGGATCAATTTTGCAACAGTATTTTGACTGAAATGCAAACCTTTGCAGATCTTCTTGTAGCCCTCACCTTTTTTGTGTAAGGAAATGATTTCTTTTCCCAGATTTTGTGACATTTCTCTTCCACGTGGAGTCATTGCTGACAGCATGAAATGGGAAGGTTGTTTTTTTGTTAAGTAATGCCCTTTTACAGTCACCTGTCTGCTGGACACCTCTTAAATTAATCATTAGACTCATTTGTGGTTAAACGCCTGTTAATTTGAATTTTGCAGTGTTAAGTTTGGCTTTTCTACTAAGACTGGGGTGTACTCGAGGGCTTGAATAAATTTGGTAGGAAAATCACTTTTGTGTGTGCAAATGAACAAATCTTGTTTTCAATCAATGGCTCACATTTATGTGAGTATGTTGTAGTTTGGCATCTCATAGAAAATGTTGATTCTGAAAGGAAACTAAAGGTTTTCTGACAAATGTAGAGGGGTGTACTCATTTATGCTGAGCGTTGTATATAGCATCAAATCTTGACAAAAGTCGTCTCGAGATACTTCACAAAGTAAACATTCCGTTACAGTTCCGTTCATTAAGCCAATTAGCTAAAGTTTCCTATATAAGGAACCCAGCAGATTACATCGAAACTACATCGAATTACATCAAACTCTTCAACTACTTCTCCTCTCAACATGTCAGAATATGACAGAGCTGATGTTCAGTTTTTGAGCTATTTTAGATTATGAAAATCTTTATAAAAGTTTAATGATGTTCTAAAAAATCTGCAAACATGCTAGGTTTTGAACGCAAACACAGTCACAGAACACTCACCCCTCCCTCGGGTATCTTCCCTAAGATGCTTTTACCGAAACTGGAAATCCGCGATGCAGGACGAAATGAGATAGTGCTAAACACTAGTCGCGATTTTCTAGGTCATTAGTTCAAGTTTTGTAGTCTGTGACTTCAAATGGTGTTTTCCATTTTGGTAGTTTGCTCTATAGCCGTTTCTCCTTCTCTGATATTTTTGAACCGAGAACCTCTCACGCCAATGGTGTTCTGGTGCTAAATACACAAGTGTGGAATAAGCACCTCATGATTTTTATATTGAGAGGTGATAATAAAAGATTGTTTTCTTTCTGTCTTCCTTTTAATAAAAGGATGACCAAGAAAAGAGCGGCAGATCGGCTAGATGGACAACCGGATGGTCCAATATTTGTTTTCGGTCCGAAACGTGTTATTGGCTGAGTTTTTTAGACGAATGCAAGAGAACCTTTTTATCTCCCCAATGTATTTATAGCTATAATATGTTGGAACATTGTAGCATGAAAAAATGTTTTAAGTAATTTGTTTTCCAAATTTATTGTAGCAGCTTTAATGATCAAAACTGTAATATACTGAAAAGAAAAAAATATATATCACTAATACACACATCTTAGCGTCATGCTTAAAGAAAATGGATTCAGCTGCTGTTGGGGACAAATAAAATATGGCAATTTTCCTATTATTAACCTAAATTGAAGTAGTTTTTAGTTTGCACAGAACATGTTTAAAATTCAAGCATGCATGATAGGAGATATGTAAAGTTAGTAACCTAAACGTTGTAGTTTTTCTTTTTTTTATGAGAGGGAGGCCGTGCATGTATCTGTATCGGTCCATATCAGAAATTAAGAGTCAGACAATATCGGACGTTGGTAAAAAGGACAACTTCGAGCATCCTTTGCTAGAATATGTGCCTGTACTATAAAATGATACTCAGCAGGCTTGCAGAAGTTTTCTGCCATGATCCCCACAAGCGTCCTGGAAGGTATAAATCAGAACACGCTGCTGGACACACCCACCTGGAAGTCTGATCCAGCCACGGTAATCACAACGGACTACATGCAAATGGCTACGAGGACAGCAAACAACTGAAAAGAAAATAATGACACGACAGAAACAATACAAGGGGTGAACAGGGAAAAAGTACACACAAGACAGTAGAATTCACACCCATGACAAAAAAACAACAACAAAACCTGCAAAAGTAAACTGTAACTGTAGAACATGCAGGGATTGATGCATTATACTGAGATCAAATAATGGATTTACGGATTAAAGCAGAGCAACAACAGGAAAAAAATATACTACATAACCCACACAGGCACTCACCTGGCAGGTAACCGGGCAAACACACTACAGTGATACACTGAAACACCTAAGAGCGGGAGGTACCGTACCTCTTGTAGCTGTAGGCGTACTCTGCTGAAGAGTCGAAGCCAGTTGGCCTTCGCTCTGGCGTGACCTGGTTCCATGATTTCCCTCCTTGGAAAACTGTAAGTAAATGTTTGCATTCCAACATAAAATCAGAATGAATATAATCTTAATACACTTTTTTTTTTTTAAGTTTGCCGAAAACTGTAAAATCAGTGGTCACCTGGGAACAAGGGGCTCCCCCAGTTTCTCCTCAGGAGCAGCAGGTGCCGTTTCTGCCTCTGGAGGCTGCTCAAATGGTTTAGATTCCTCCTGAGATGCTTCAGATTTGAGCTCTGGCTCTAAGGGTTTGGTGTCTAGAGGTGGAACCTGTGATGTTGGGGTGGATGTAGTTGTGACAGGCAGTTGTTCTGAAGGTGCAAAGGAAGGCTTAATGGACTCTGTGATGTCAGAGGGCCCCATGCTCTCCTGGGAGACTGGAGGTATTTCAGGAGCTGTGCTGGGAGGCTGAGGCTGTCTCTGTTGATGCAAAGACGTCTGCTTCTCCAAAGGTGGTCGGGTGGAGGACAGTCCATCTGAGAGAGGCATCAGGGTGGATGCAGTGTTTGAGGGTACTGGGGTGCTGGCATGCTCCTGATCTTTACCCTTTGTGGTGCCCAGTGGATACATCTCTTCATCTTCCTCATAGGGCATCTCTCCTTCATCTTTGTAGTTGTATTCCATTGCATAAATGCTTCCCTCTTCATCATACAGCACACCATCCTCCCCTCCATGTTTGAGATAGCCTCCCTCATCACTATAGATGCCCTGGTTGTCCTCACCGTCCCAGCCCGGGGAGTCTTCTTTGCCGTAGCTGACCGAGGAGTGGCAGGAGTGGTAGGAATCGTTTTCGTCATAGAACTCTGAATCCTGAAAGCTCTCGCCATCCTCTGGAACAAACTCCTCACTCAGCTGAGAGCTGCCTCGGCTCAGCTCAGCTGACGAGGCGTAACGACTGTCTGTGGGACTAAAGCGTGGGAGAGACAGAGATGTGTGTTAGACAAACACAAGCAAGCCTAAGAGGAAATGACAGGGGATCCCCACACTTGGATGATAAAGAAATAGGTTGTGACAATTGAGGAGATTGGGCTGGGGCCGGGGAGGAAGACTACTAACTAACAAGAGAAGACTTCAGATGACACGTTACAGTAAAGGAGTCTGGTTAGTTATCCATCTATAAAACTGCAGGGGATGTCTTTGTTTTAGTAAGAGGCAGGGTTTCTATAGCTACTAGCTCACACAAAATATGAGATACAAAAAAACACACTTGGCTGCAAAACCATAACAACACATTTCTCCACGAGTCGACATTTAACTTGCTCTATTTTGATGAGAACAAGTGAACCTGATAGGCTGTGTTTACTTTGTTTCCCTGGCAGAGCAAGAACAGATGAATGAGTGAATAACATTTATCAATAATGAAGAGGAACTTTACACACTGGGTAAGACCACAAGTCAGTGAGAGTTTCAGACACGTAGAAAAACAGCTTCTTAACACACGGGGACAAGCACTCACACCCGATAGTTTCCATCTGTATTGATTCCCACTCCTGTTGGTTCTATAATGCAGAGTTAAGCTGTATTATGGCTTTGGGCTGTGAGTCAAAGGAAATACACCAACAATCACACAAACAATCACAACAAACCTGTTTTATTTTTCTTATCCAACACCTATTTCACAGCCTGTCTGTTATCTGACAGACTGACACGGTGACAAATACTGCATGGTGCATAGAGGAGTCATACGGACATTCTGAAGTGTGTTTTTGTGATAAAGTTGTAAAATGTTTCCACCATAAAGGCTATAGACAGAGTTTGGTCAGGACCGATGAGATAAAGGCCAGCTCGAGTGCAGCCAAGACCATAGATTATATATTTAAATATCGTGATATTTTCTATCCATCCATCCATCCATCCATCCATTATTGTCTGCTTATCTGGGCTCGGTTCAACAGCCTAAGCAAAGAGGCTCAGACTTTCCACTCCCCGGCCACTTGGACCTAGCCTAGTGAACTAGACCAAATTCTTGCTTTGCAAAGAATGGTCTAGGCATACTCCATTGGAACCTCAGCAGCTCCTACCAGGACTCTGGCTAGCCAATCACAGCTCTCTAGAGGGGTTTCAAACACATAAAGAGCTGTGATTGGTCCATAATGGTGGGCCAATCATAGTGCTCTATCTGCTTAGTGAACAAATCACAGAGCTTTATCCGCTTGTGGGCCAATCAGGGCACTCTATATGCCTGGTGGGTGGGGTGATGCAACAGAGTGAAACAAGATAATGTCACATTCATTGTGGAATGCGGAGATCATTTGAAAGACAACGGTAGAACCCGCCCCACAACCGAGAGCTGTCAATGGCTTGCCAGGCCAACTTGGACCAGCTACTCTGGGGGAATCCCAAGGCATTCCCTGGCCAGCTGAGAGACATAGTCCCTCCAGCATGTCCCAGGTCTTCCTTTAGGTCTTCTCCCAATTGGACGTGCCCAGAAAACCTCACCAGGGAGGCGTCCAGGAGGCATCCTAACTAGATGCCCAAGCCATCTGAACTGGCTCTTCAAGACTCAAGACTCAAGACAACTTTATTAGTCCCCGAGGGGCAATTCGAGACAGCATTGTGAAGCAGCCGGCACTAAAATCTCTAAATTCTAAAAACACATCCAAATTACACATTTGTAAAACCCATAAAAACCTATATACACAATCATGTCATAAACTCACATGTGAATGACCAACAATGATTAAAACTTTGGCTCACTCACACACACACACACACACACACATATACACACACACACACACACACACACACACACACACACACACACATGTAACTACATGCACGCACACATACAAGTAATGCACACTCCCCCTATCTGCACTGAGAATTAAGAAGAAGCACAGCTCTGGGAACAAAGGAACTTCTCCTCCTCTGTGTTTTACAGCATGGGCATCGAAGTCGGCGTTTGGAGGGCAGCCACTCGAAAACAGTATGAAGAGGGTGTGATGGGTCTTTAATGATTTTCTGTGCTAAACTTCCTGTATGCTGGTCACATTGAGAAGTTAAGCTTCGCAGTGGTAGTTCAATGATCCGAGAGCACACCTTGACGGTGCTTTGTAGACGGCTTCTATACTGCAGGCTGACAGAATAAAACCAACAGGGGATGGAAAATGTGATAACACTCTCTATAAAAGAATAATAGAAATGTGGAAGAGCAGCTACTACTCCGAGTCCCTCTCGGACGACCGAACTTCTTACCCTATCTCTAAGAGAGAGCTCAGACACCCTGCTGAGAAAACTCATTTTGGCTGCTTGTAACTGCAATGTCATTCTTTCAGTCACTACTTGTAACCATAGATGAGGGTAGGAACAAAGATCAACCGGTAAAACGAGAGTTTCGCCTTCTGGCTCAGCTCTCTCTTCCCCACGACAGACCGGTACAACGCCCGCATCACCGCAGATGCAGCACCAATCCGCCTGTCAATCTCCCAATCCATCTTTCCCTCACTCATAAACAAGGCAGAGATACTTCCTGAGATAACTCCTCCACTTGAGGTAGGACGTTGTTCCTGACCCACCCAGAGAAGGCATTCTACTCTTTTCAGATATTGCGTCATTTTGTGTTATGATACTGAATCAATATTAAATGCAGTGTATTGACTTTGTGAGAATTAACATGCAAACATCTATTATATTTCTTTTGCGTGATGCAACTTAAACTCTAACCACTAGGTGGAAGCAGTTTTTACCACCTGCATTGTGACGGAACAACGAGACTTTGTGATAACACTAGATGTGTTTTATAAGAGTCTGGCCTAAGTTTTCTAATTAAAAATTGCAAATATTTTGATTGATTGATTGATTGATTGATTAATTGATTTGCTTTATTATTATTGCACAAAAAACACACTGTGTAATTTTGACGATGAAATTCCGTTGCTTGGCAACCGGCAAGATAAAAAAAAAGTGAGACTATAAATTGAAGCCTTAAAAATACATATTATAAATAAATAAATAGTTCAGTGCAAATGATAAATTGCAGTGTATAAATAAAAAGAATCTTAAAAAATATATATATATACATATATACATGTGTATATACATATATATGTATATATACACACACACATCACCTGACTTTAAGTATTGTGATGTACTGTATCATCTCCCAATCCAAGACGAGAAGCCCAAATATCAGTAAGAAGAAGAAGAAAATATCATTTCTATAGCGCCTCTCAAGATAAAAATCACGAGGCGCTTCACAAAAACAAAAAATGTAAAAATATAAAAAAGCATTTAGAAAATGTTTAAAAATATATTTCAAATGAGCAAAAATAGGCAATTGTGATTAAAAACATGTTAAGAATGAGAGAGAGTGAATAGGAAAGAGGGAAATCAGTGGATCCTGAGGAAGGTGGAATAGGTGGGGAGAGCAGAATAAAGAGAAGGTGGTGAAGAAGGTCACACAAAAGCCAGCTTGAACAGGTGAGTCCTCAGCTGCTTTTTAAAGGAGACCACTGAGTCCACTGATCTCAGGCTCAGAGGGAGAGAGGTCCAGAGTCTGGGGGCCACAGCAGCAGATGATCTGTCACCTTTGGTCTTTAGCCTGGTGCTGCACAACCAGTAGGCTTTGATCACTGGACCTCAGGGACCTGCTGGGGGTGTAGGGACTAAGAAGATCACCAATGTAAGATGGTGCTTGTCCATGTAAGGCCCTGAAGACCAGAACCAGGATCTTGAAATGAACCCTGAAGTTGACTGGCAGCCAGTGAAGCTGGAGGAGAAGTGGGGTGATGTGGGTGTGTCTGGAGGACTTGGTCAGAAGCCGAGCACAGGCATTCTGAACCACCTGTAGACGGGTCAGGGAGGGACTCACTTCTAGTTTCTAAAAATGGTGCACTAGTGTTTTTGCCCCTGAGAATGACTTAATAAACATTAATTCCTATTAGAGAAAACTTTATTGATTAAACGAGGGATCAACACCTTTAATATTTTTGCCAGAATACCTATGAAAAGCAAAATTGATAATTCCAAAATAGTGTTGAAAAAATGATTATGAATTTTGAACTTGGGGCTGTTTTCAGAACAACAGCACGCCACTTTAGTCTTGGCCAGTGGTGTCCAATCCTGACCCTCAAGGCCCACCATCATCCTGCTTATTTCAGAGGTTTCACCGCTTCAGCACACCTGATTTTACTCACTGGGTGAGTAAAAGGGTTCTGCAGCGCTCGATGACCTGCCGAACAGGAGATTCAGTCACTGAATCAGGTGTGCTGGAGCAGAGAAACAACTGAAGCATGCTGGATAGTGGCTCTCGGGGACCAGGACTGGACACTACTCGTCCTGGGTGTGCTCAGACTAGCTGTTAGCTCATCAGTCCTCCCTGGTGTAGGTGGAGGGGGCATTCTACAATGGGTACGATTGGGATTGTTTATAACTCTTCCACAGAAACACACAACAAAATGGCAGAAAAATCTCCTAAAGGTTTAAACACGTATGTCACCATTTTCCTCCCCAAAACATGAACAAAAACACACAAAACGCAGACACAAATGAAAGCAATCTGTCTTAGTGTTCCTCCTAAGACTCCATTATTGACCTAACATCTTCCTGCTGCCTCACAAGTGGGACTTAAATGTGTGTAATTACTACGTGTTGAACACCCAGAACAAAAACGAGGGCCTTTCCTAGTGTCTCACACACAGGGTGAGGCTGTAATAACAAGCTGTCATGACAGAAGATGGGCACAGACTCATACAGGTGGTTTAACAAACTCCAACCAACAATTAACCTCTCTGTCTGCAGCCGTCACAAAACAACACACATACACACATCCTGTCAATCACTCAGCCCCTAAACACAAAGAGTGTTGCACAACGACAGAGGAGATGAGTTTAATGCATTAACTCTGCCTGTCACAGCGTCTGTGGTTCTTCAGGAGCACAGTAAGGAGAGATGCAGAGCCAGTAGTTCTCTATAGAAATATGTAGAATATACAAATACAGAGATAGGATAAGAGCGCATGCATGCAAGCACAGCGAGCGAGGAGGACAGGACAAGTCCACCACTGACGTCACAGCGAGACGGAGTCACAGGCCCGAGCAGGAGGAGGAGTTGCAGAGGAGGCACAGAGACCCACCTATCGGACAGCGAGTGCCTACTGTCTAGAGAATACTGACGGCTGGTGCGTCGGCTCGACCCTGAGCCTGTGTCGATATCGCTGCGGCCGTTGGTGGCAGAGTCTAAACTATCATTGCGTCTGGTAAAGGGAGCAGGGAGGGAGGCAGGGGGGAGGGAGGGGGAGAGGTGGAAGAGGAGCATCAGTGGAGCTCAGTGCAAATCTCTAAAATAAAATCTGAGCCTGTCTGACCTGCCGAGTTGTAAGGACTGAAACACAACTCAGTTTTAGAGCAACAGTCAGGGACGAGTATCTCACTGGGCAGGGACTGGTGGTGACGCAGGCTTTTGGAGAATATATGCCAAGTTTGATTTTCTTTTAGTTGGATACAAATTTATTAGGAGAGTTAAGTTAAAAATGCAGATTTTACAGCAGAAACTTGTTGCACCTTAGCCACAAAGTACCTTTATTATTATTATTAATATATTTTTTTTAAATGAAATCCTCATCTTAGATGCAATTTTATCATCCCTGACTCTGAAAGACCAAATCCGTCACAACTTAGTTTCAAAGATCAAAAAATAAATAAATAAATAAATAAAACTGCCCTGCATGTCTCACATTTCCACTCAGAAACTAAATGGAGAAAGATTTAAGACAAGTTGCACATTAAGTGAATTTTTTTTTGCATTTGGTCAAAATTCAAGCCACAAGACATCAAGGCTCTGCAACTGAGAACCTTTGCGAACATTTGGAGGCATTTTAGAAATGTTATGAGTGATGCACAACAGTTGCTGCCCAATGAGACACTGGCTTCATTTTCTGCAAGAGTTTCAGATGGTGAGGCCATCAACCCAGCTTAAAGACCTCCATCTAAACCAGCCAAAGAAAAGGTCAAACTCATTTTTTTTTTTTAGCTTTTCTCAGGAATGCTTTGACTATTTCTTTTGAAAACATTTCCATAATTATTCCCAATTGTCATTGTGCCTTGGAAGTCATGTCATTTCTGCACAAGGCCGTGGAGAAGGAAACACAAAGGGGTTTCCTACGTCCACACGTGCGTATGGAGATGCTGGCATGCACTGACACATTCACGCAGAAAAGACCCACTTCAGACGTGACCTGTATACAAGAACCCAGTGCCTCAGCATGCTTGTATACACTGAGGCTGGGGGATATTCTCTAGAGGAGGAGAACACAGTGGGACATGTTACCATGAACACAACAGGGAAATGAAAAAAGTTCCTCAAAGCTCCAGAGGCATTTACTAACTAAGCAATAACTTGTTTAAGGTGGAGTACGTGAGACTACACTTTAAACAAGATTTACTTTTAGTTGTTAAAAAAACGCCTTTATGTATTCATCAGTGCACACCATCAACTCCAGGATAGATTGTGTTTCAGCTTTCTACCTCATGGTTCTGTGATCGTAGTCCAGCTCGTGGATCTCATCGTTGTAGGAGTGTCTGTAGTTCTGCTGCCTCATGGGATACTGGTGCATGGAAGCGTTGGGCTGGGAGGTGGTGTAATAGGGAGGTGGGATGCTGTTACTGGTCTCGCTGCGGTAGTCGCTGTCCCTGTCATCAACAGCACTGTCTGGGTCCTCGTCTGTCAGTGGGAGACAGAGAAAATTCAGACGCAGAGAGTGAGCAGAGAAGTCCATCCAGCTGCCTCAAAAAGCATTTTTACCACCCCTCCTACTGAATTCACTTTTTATAAAGCTAAAAACTCCAAATGGCCATTAAAATAAGTTTGATCATAGTCTTTTTCTCTTCATACATATGCTGACGAGCTGCCGGTTACGTTTCAGTGGGACGTTGTTTTGTTTTTTCCTTTTCCTGTGTGCATTTCACATATATAAAATAAACGATAAAGATTTGCATGAAGACTAGGGCTTCTTGTTCAGAAAGTACGTTTTTCATTTCCTTTTTTATTTTTTACAAAAACTAAATAAAATAAGTTACCCACTAAGGCACCTTAATGTTGTTTTCTTTTTTTAGCAAACATAAGAGTTTCACCGAGCCGTGGATTTGGAGTGAAACTGCACTTTATGTTGGAAACCTGCATAAAGAAATAAGAAGCAGTTCTCTAAAAGAGTAAAACTGATGTTTGTGCAGCTGCTGGTCTTTTGAGGAAAAACTGCACAAAGAGATTAAGACATGGGCAATAAACACTGAAAACCTCAAGTCATTAGAGGAAGTACATAAAATAAACTCACTCTGCTGGTCTCCCCAGAGACTCCAGTTACCTGCATGGGGATGAAAGAAATTTAGCCTGTAAACTATACATTTTCTTAGCCCAGGAATCATGTGAAGGTGTGGATGTGTGAGCAGGGAGTTCATGAAAATGGTAACCGAGGGTGTTCAGAAAAACACAAGGCCGTTTGAGAAGCTTATGTGAAAACTGACTTTTGTGGAGACAGATGGCCTTGATGCTGCTGAGCAACCACAAGCAGAAAATTCACTCATGCAGCTTTCATATTTGCACAAACACATGCACCACAGCTCCAACCGAAGCCTCTGTAAGCAGACTAATTCCACACATACTCGTCCACCTGCTCACCATCGCCACAGACCGGGAGGCAGGCAGAGGAGCATGTGTCTGAAAGCCAGAGTAAGCAAAATCAAATTCATCACATCTCCATAACCTGTAAGTCACTCTAGCGCCCGGGCGGGCATACATTTCTGATGAATCATATGGACTTTCTTCATCCTCCGCTTCTTCATTTCTACCTCCTGTCTAGGCTGTTCTCAACAAGACGAGGCGGTAGAGCAGAGTGAGCAGGGAGAGTAAGAACAGGAGGCACAAAGAGAACACAGCGGGTGATGGCGCAGGAGGAGGTGGTGGATGCAGAAGAGGCTGGTGACACTCACAGCACTGTGAGGAGGGAGCGTGGAGCGACCGCTCTTGTTCTTCTTGATAGGCATACTGAGGTTATGGAAAAACAAGCAGCAGAGACAAACGTGTTAGGGAAATAACAGCAAGGACATAAAAAACTGGCCAGCATTTATAAAACAAGTGAAATTCTTACATCTTGATCCCTCATTGCATTAAGTTGTTCAAGTTTTTTGGCCCAGTATCTGGCTTCCTCCTCTGGGATGTCTAAAGCACAACAGAACACACATTATTTTAATTCAGAGGTCAAAGGCCATATTTATGCTCTTATATCAGCATGGAGGGTATTATGGTGTTTATTTATTTATTTTTTTTTTTTTTTTTTTTATAAAGTCACAAATCTTTTTAGAAAGATGGAGGATATAATACAGTCAAACTGATTCCAACCTGCATCAAGTAGTGGCATCAGTGGTGGGATCAACATCAGAAACAGTGCATGAAGTTTTACCTATGGTGCCAATTTTTTAATGGAATTGGGAGTCATTAGGACTGAAACCCAAAAATGTGATTAAAGGGGCATAAAACAAAGAACTTTTACAATTAGAAACTGGTCATCAAGCCTCCATGTAGCTTTTGAAACTCTGTTGGGCTCACAATGACCCAGGAGCCCTGACAAAAAGTGTGGAGTGTTGTGAAGTGGGGATTTTTTTGATGAATGAGGAAAGGAATGCTGCAGAACATCCTGGAAAATGAGTGCTTCAACATTCTTTGTTTCTTGTTGTCCAACAAAGATATAAGCAGTGGGCTAGTGTTAGCAGTAGCTCAGGGCTAGTGTTAGCAGTAGCTCAGGGTTAGTGTTAGCAGTAGCTCAGGGTTAGTTTTAGCAGTAGCTCAGGGCTAGTGTTAGCAGTAGCTCAGGGCTAGTGTTAGCAGTAGCTCAGGGCTAGTGTTAGCAGTAGCTCAGGGTTAGTGTTAGCAGTAGCTCAGGGTTAGTTTTAGCAGTAGCTCAGGGCTAGTGTTAGCAGTAGCTCAGGGTTAGTGTTAGCAGTAGCCCAGGGCTAGCATTAGCAGTAGCTCAGGGTTAGTGTTAGCAGTAGCTCAGGGCTAGTGTTAGCAGTAGCTCAGGGCTAGTGTTAGCAGTAGCTCAGGGTTAGTGTTAGCAGCAGCTCAGGGCTAGTGTTAGCAGTAGCTTAGGGCTAGTGTTAGCAGTAGCTCAGGGCTAGTGTTAGCAGTAGCTTAGGGCTAGTGTTAGCAGTAGCTCAGGGCTAGTGTTAGCAGTAGCTTAGGGCTAGTGTTAGCAGTAGCTCAGGGCTAGTGTTAGCAGTAGCTCAGGGCTAGTGTTAGCAGCAGCTTAGGGCTAGTGTTAGCAGTAGCTTAGGGCTAGTGTTAGCAGTAGCTCAGGGCTAGTGTTAGCAGTAGCTCAGGGCTAGTGTTAGCAGCAGCTTAGGGCTAGTGTTAGCAGTAGCTCAGGGTTAGTGTTAGCAGTAGCCCAGGGCTAGTGTTGTTCTGCAGTTAGCATCACCATGCAGAGTTTATATATTGCTGATGATGGCAAATATTAAATGACTTGAATTTAATATAGGGCCTTCTAGAATTCTAGAACCCACAGGGCACTTTACAAGACAGTCATTCACCCATGCACAGACACATTCACCTGCTGATGATGATGAGCTACAGTGTAGCACCACCGGTCCTTCTGACCACCACCAGCAGGAAATGTGGGTTAAGTGTCTTGTTTAAGGACACAACAGCATCATGTTCTGCAGGAAACTGGGATTAATCCCAGAACCCTCGGATTGCTGGACAACCTGCTCTGCCTTCTGATCTACTGCTGCCCTATTAAGTGAGTTGGGACATGCAAATTTGAGGCAGTGTGTTTTGCTTATGACATGTAAAACCACCCTTCCTCAGAATGAACTGTTTCTCCATTGCCACTACATCATTACTAATTTACATAGGAAAGCAAGTCAGCAATGGCACCGACTTTTTGGCATGGTACACCAGACACCCCAAGCTGCCTACACTCAACAACAACATAAAAGAGGGGCATGATGTATAAAAGTAGGATAAAAGGCCAGACCTAAAGGCAGTTCAAAGCGGGTGTCGAGCAGTAGCCTGTGGAAGGTCGGGTCTTTGGTGCCACAGATCTCATTTTCAGCCATGATCACATTGGAGTCCAGAATCAGCCACTGACCTGGACCGTCCTGCAAGAGACAAATGGAGTAGAAGGGAAAATGTGACAATACGAGTTTCTCAGGGGTTGGGATTACAATCCGATTCTTAACGCGTGAAACTCACTCCTCGTGGTACTGTATAAAAACACTTCGATTTGTTATCATGTAACATTAAAAATGTTTACTTTAATGGGTTCAAAGTCACATCTAACATCAGCTTTTACATGTTGGGCTTAGACTCAGCAACACACTCAATATGAAACCAAAATCCCTACTAGATCACTTAATATGTCCTTCCACGCTAAAGCTTAGTAACACTTTACAATAAGGGTCCATTTATTAACATTACTTAGTGTATGATTAAGCATTAATAAACAAATCAGCTGGGTTCATGATCTAAAACATGCAGGAAACGTTCTGGAACCAGACTGCAGCTCCAGGTATGTCAACTGTAGTTTTTCTAAGTGCCAACAGATTGGATCTGTAACTCTGAAGTTGCAAGTGGAACATTCTGGCCCCAGGAGGCGATAGGGGCAGGGTGGCCTTTCATTAACCCTGTAAAGGGTCATTTTAGCACATACTGGCTCAAGAAAACGATTTAAAAATATGAAAAAGTTGCAAAGTTTCCCTTTAAATCATAAAAGCAACCTCAACTTCACAGTAGAAATGAAAAGTTTTAATTTATAATGATTTTTACAATAATGTTTGGCTTTGATAAATCCAAACATTTCTTTCATTTGTTACTAAGTAGGGATCACAGCTAATGGGAGGGAGAAAGGACAGTAGGAGGTGCACCTCGTTGGACTGCCGTATGCTGCTCAGAGGGATCCATAAGGTTCCCACCATGGTGTCCCAGATCAGTCCTTTGTTCCACACCTCCACTGTGAGGCCCAGATCCAGACGGTTTATTTCACTGCACACACAGTAAATGATGGAGTACAAAATAGGAGAATAAATTAGAAAGGTGACCCCAAAGCGTGTTTAAACAATGGATTTTCAGCTTAAATTCAACACATTTGTATTATTTGAATCTGGTGATGGCTTTGAGCCACAATTCAATCTGTTTAGGTAGTTGAGTCATCCAGCATTAGGAGTAGGATACTGTCAACAAGGCTCCTGGTGTTACAGGCAAGAGCAGAGAGACACAAACAGTAGCACTCACGTGCAGCTTAACGCTAAACATCTGACTGCAGATCATCACCTCCTGGTGCACCCTTCTTTGAGAACACGCCTCATGCTTTAACTACGGGCCTAAATGAATCAAACCCCAAAAATAACTGTGGCTTTGATGTAAATGTGCATATTTCTGTTTCATGAGCAGCTGAAGAAGAAAATCAGGCCGAGTGCTGTGGAGCAGGAATAATAAAAACAAAGCGTAAGAGAGGAGATGCTGTTCTTTTTACTTTATTATTATATTTCCAGCAGATAAAACAATCCAAGGGATGATTCTCAGCTGCTTGTGTAGAAGGTCTGGAGGTGTGAGAAGCTTAGGAGGAGAGAAATCCTCTAAACTGGGTGTGGAGCCAAGCTAACATCAGCAGAGATGTCATGTTGTCTCTCCTCAGCAGGAGGAAGGCTGAATGAAAGTCAGAAAACATAAACATAACTCATTTTAGGGATGTAAATGCCACAGCGGACCTGGTCTGAGGTGCACAACATCTGTGTGCTGAAGAACCAAACACATTAAGGGGTTTTATGTTAAAACAAACTGCATTTAGCAATTATCTAACAGCTGGACAGCAGCAGCGTCAATCATACCATAAAATACAAAAATGAGTCCATCCAAGGACAGGTAATGCTAAAACATCTCTCTCCTGTATCAACTTTCTCCAGCTTCTCCTGGAGGATCCCAAGACATTCCCAGGAGGATGTAGAAAACATCCAAAAGACGGTAACCAGGAGACTTCCTAATCAGAAGCTCAAAGCATCAGCTGACTTCTTTTGATGCAGCGGAGCAGCTCTACTCTGAGCTCCACCATGGCGCGCCTCATCTCATCACTGAGGCAGAGGAAGCCGATTCCATCCATATGTAATCTGGATCTCACTCCTTTGGTCATGATCCAACTCTGGTGACCTTTAGTGAGGGTTAGAACATAGAAAACCCTGAAATCCGTAGCTTCACATTTAGAGAAGCTGACTATCATCCTTACATTATGAAATAATATCAGACATCCAGTAACAGGCTTTCGTGTTGCTTTTCAAAAGTTACAGCAGGAAAAAAGTTCCCTCTGAACCCGAAACACAAGCAACAACACATAGAAACTAAAATGTGTCTCTTCACGTAGATCTACTGATAATTTGACGCTAAATGAGTAAACACTTACAACATGAAGTCCTGCTCCCAGCAGGGTTGACAGCCACGCACGGCGATAGTTGTGCTCTTAACATTTTGCACCTTCAGCGTCACGTACGTGTTGAATTTCTCTGTAAAGACCGGAACAAAAACAAGACCAGTTCTTGCTTCATTCACATTTAAAGGCTTGACTCAGCAATTGTCATCGGCTCACCTTGGGGTCCATCGAGCTTGCCTTTTTTTACTGTAAAAAATAAACAAAAAGAAAAACAACATTATTCCAATTAGATTGGGAGATTTTTAAAAGCTCATGTTGCAAATAAACTTTAGAGATTTTAATTGTTTTGGGTTCATGTCTGACAGCGGAGCAACGCCAGCAGGTCGCAGGCTTGATCGGATGGTCGGTGGGTGACTGACAGCAGTTTGGCATTTTGGAGAGCAAGTGGGAGGTCTGCGGTTCTGTCTTAGACTCCTCTCTGCTGTTTGGGTAGAATGCCAGGATCTTAATAAGAAAGACTGCATCCCTCAGCAGATGTCACGTCTCTAAATCACTTCTCTGGATGCCAGGGGGGCAGTTTGTGCAGGTCAGAGTAGAAGGTTACACTAGGGACTGCAGCAGACACATGCCTTGTCATCTCTAAATGATGCGCGTGTGTGTAGTTCTTCACGGTTGTCCAGATAAATAAAATCAGAGGGCAGCTGAGATTTGTTTAAAACACTGGATCAGGCTGTGCCGAGGTGCTGCCGTCTGTTTTATTATGGCGGGGTTCCACTCTGATGTCAAAAGCTTTTTTATTATTCATTCAGTAGTGCACCCTGCTGATGTCAACCATCCCAGTGCAGAGCTGAGGTGTTAATATTCAGAGTGCTGGTATTTAATACCTGCTAATTGCATCTTTTCATTCGTGATACATTTAAGAGTAAACGCAGGGTGGAGGTAAAAGCCTATGATTCTGTCAAAATAAAGGAAGCCAATGAACAGAAAGAGCAGTGATGACATTCTGAGTCATTCTGAGTCGGGAAAAGCAGGAAGGATCATCCCTGGGGTCAAACTGCTTCCCTAAAATAGCCTCACCCAGCAAACCTTGGGGGTGATGCCTATCTCTTAAATAATGATTTAAATCTCAAGAGCTGCTGGTGTGTGCTGAAGCCAACTTCAGAGCAAGATCTCCCTCGATTGCTCAGCTGCTGACAGAGCAGGAAGGTTCACCTCCTTGGAAGCATTAAACCTACAGTTGATAACAACGCGCTGAAGGCAATAATTGACAGATGCACTTTAATCGCTCACTCGCTGACGTTCACTCTCTCACACACGCAAGTTTCCTCTCCTCACCCAGCCTTCTCCTCTCACTCATGACACTCCCTCCTACAAGCTCCCCCCGCCATGTGGTGAGCGTGCACGTGTGCTCCCTTTCTATCTATTTCACTTGTGCTCCATTAATCTCTCTGCAGAGCCGCCGGATGCAGGCTGAGTGAGCTGCATCCCCAACACTAAAAATAACCACTCCAGTGTGACTGGGGAGGGGAGAGGGGTGCTGGCAATGAGGGGAGAGAAGAGGGGGTGAGTGTGAGAAGGTAGGAGGGGTGGCTGCTAACGTGCAGACGACTAAAACCAGCAACACTGCATTCATCGCTAAGAGCAAAAGGCTAAAGGAGAAAATGGAAAAAAGGAGTGTTGAACGTTGTGTTGCACACACTCAACAGAAAATGAGTCACAAGCAACAACAATTACAGGATCTCATTTTCTCTTTCGCTGCTGAGGAAAAGCAAACAAGTGCATCTGCTCATATTCTGGTGTGCAGCAGATGAAGGAGCATTTATTTATTTATTTTATTTGTTTAGGCTTTCTATTAAAAAGCTTTTAAAGAGCCCACACTTCTGGGCAATACTGTTGACACCAGAAACACTGAGATAAATCTGCAGTTGCAGAGAAAACAGAAGAGAAACCCACACCCACATCAGAGACAGTGATTAAATACCCAATTTACCCAGAGCAAACCTGAAGCTGGACAGAGGCTCATATGTTTTACCATAATCTAATCAAATGACTTATTCAAGGGATCTGAGCAGATGTAGAAACAATTATATATATTTTCTTAAATATGCATTTCAATGTTTTGAATCATTAAATAAAATCTATCTGAACCAAGAGAATAAAAATCTAAACCATCCTTTGGTTTCACAGTAGTATCAGTTCTTCTGAGTCAGGGATTCTGCAGGATTAAAGCCAGGTGTGTGATTAACTAATTATACACAACAGATGCTGATCATCATCATTTTTATGTTAGTTAAAACAGTCATTAAGTAAAATAGAAACAGCAGTGTGTGAGGTTTAAATCTTAGGGAGTAACACCCAAAGTCTGCTACCCAGGTCAAAGGTCACTGGGGCAGAACTGAGCAAAGAAAGGAAGATCTTACTCCATACCATACCATACCAACTTCATTTATAAAGCACATTTAAAAACGGCATGGTAGCTGACCAAAGTGCTGTACAGAATAAAAAGTAAAAACACAATATTAAACAATACACAGTCAACAATAAAATACACAACAAGGCAGATCATCACGGTCAATAAAAAGACATAGTAAAATAATAAAAGTCAGGGATTTAAAAATGCCTGGTCGTAAAAGTGAGCCTTAAGTAGCGAATTGAACCGGAGGAGGGATGGTGCCGGCCTCACTGAAAGAGGAAGAGCATTCCAGAGTGTCGGAGCAGCATAGACAAAAGCACGCTGCCCCCGCGTTTTGTATTTCATTGTTGGAACGCGAAGCAGCAGGCAATCAGCAGATCTCAACGTCCGGTTTGGCACATAACGAGTCACAAGATCAGACAGGTAATCCGGAGTCAGACCGTTCAGGGCCTTAAAAACAAAAGTCAGGATTTTAAACTTGACTCTGAAGTTTACGGGTAGCCAGTGGAGCCACGCCAGTACAGGTGTGATATGGTCTCTTCTAGGTGTGTTTGTTGAAAACCTGGTTGCCGCGTTTTGTACGACCTGAAGCCTGTTAAGAGCGGAGGCAGGTAAACCAATTAAAATGGAATTTGCGTAATCCAGTCGGGAGATGATAAAAGCATGAATCACGGATTCCAGGTGTGCTCGTTTCAGGATCCGTTTTAAGCGAACTAGTTTGCGCAGCTGATAAAAACACAATCTGACCACTGCGTTAATCTGAGGGCCCATGGAAAAGTGTGTATCCAGTTTCACCCCCAGGTTGGTAACACACTGCTTGAGGTCATATGGGAGAGTGTCCAAATCGGAAGATAAGTGTGTGGTTTTGTTAGGTGTCATCAGGAGTGCCTCAGACTTGGAATCATTCAGCTTAAGGAAATTTTTGGCAAGCCAAACCCTCACTTCAGCCAAGCATTGGTCCAGAAGAGAGAGAGGGAGCCTGGTTTGTTCAAAGCCAGGTAGATCTGGCAATCATCTGCATAAATATGATAGCCCAGGCCATATTTCCTCAGGATGAAACCCAGGGGGAGGATGTAAATTGAAAACAGGAAAGGCCCAAGCACAGATCCCTGGGGGACTCCCCATGGAAGTGGAAGAAATGTAGAGGAACAATTACCCAACTGAACCTTGAAAACTCTGTTTGACAGATATGAGCAGAACCACTGAAGTGAGGTACCCCTAAGCCCTACCCATGACTCAAGTCTATCCAGCAAAATATCGTGGTCAACGGTATCAAATGCTGCAGAAAGATCTAATAGTAGGAGCAAAACAGGAGACCCAGAGTCGGAAGCCACCAGGATGTCATTGGTCACGCGAAGAAGGGCTAATTCAGTACTGTGAAGTGGCCTAAACCCAGACTGGAACACATCAACCAGAGAAAAGCTATTCATGTGTGCTGTAATCTGTGAATAGACAATCTTTTCAAGGACTTTAGACAAAAACGGTAATTTGGAGATTGGCCGGAAGTTTGCAAGGTTTGAGTTGTCTAAACCAGGTTTTTTTAAAAATTGGTTGCACAACTGCCTTTTTAAAAGAAGTAGGAAACCCAGTGGCCAAGCTAGAGTTAAAAATGTCTAAGATGGCAGGGCCCAAAATAGGGATGATATCATCCACCATCCTCGGGGGGGGGGGGGGGGGGGGGGGGGGGGTCCTCAGGAGAACCTGCTGGTTTCATATTTCCAGTCAGATCTGACAATTCACTAAGAGATATGGGAGTAAAGTTATAGAGTGAGGGAGGTTCTGGTGGTTCATCAAGATAGCCAGATCCTGGTTGCACAAGACTACCCCTAATGTCCCAGACTTTGTGAAGAAAAAAGGTCTGGAGCTCAGCACACAATGACACAGAGGGATCAACACTACCAGGTTCAGTTATCGACAAGATGGAGTTGACAGTGCTATAAAGTTTATGCTGATCACCCTGGTGTTGAGAGATTATGCATGCGAAGTATTTGTTCCTGGCCAATCTAACACTTTTCTGACACAGGTCAAGGGCATCCATCAGAAGCTGCTGTGAGATTAGTAGCTTGTCCTTTTTCCACCTTCTTTCCAGCGTGCTACAGCGCTGCCTGAGGCTTCGTGTTTCCTTGTTCAGCCAAGGATCAGAGGTGGTTTTCTTACGTTTAAGTTTAAGGGGAGCGACTGAGTCCAGGGCAACAGAACAAGTCAAATTAAAAGAATTTAAAAGCCCATCCACATCCGTGGTGATGCCAGATGAGGAAGGATTAGATAATACAACCTCCAGGATGGACAGTAGTGAGGCAGTTGTGGAGGGAGAGATGTGCCTTGAGTAGCGAGGAGCCTGCCTTCTCACCACAGGTAATATGGCAGAGATGTTAAAAACAAATGAGAAATGATCTGAGAAACTGACAGGGTGAACAACCAAGTCCTGCACCTTCAGTCCAAAGGATAAAACTAAATCCAGTGTGTGGGAGTGCTCATGAGTAGGAACATTGACCAGTTGCTGGAGGCCAAATGAAACCAGAACATCTGAGAAATCTCTCACCAGAGGATTCGACAAACAGCAAAAGTGAATATTAAAATCACCAAGGATAATACCTTGGTCATACCTGGGGAGATATTCAGCTAAAAGCTCAGAAAAGTCCCTAATAAAAGCAGAGTTAAATTTTGGTCAGTAACACAGAATAAAAAGAATAGGAGGGGAGAGACTGAGTTCAAAAACAGAGACCTTGAAGTTGGTGGGGGCGATGAGCCCGGGAGTCGCTTGAGGGGGAGGGAGGATGAGTACATAGTCAATAGGCCCCCACCTCGACCCGACAGTCTGGGCTCATTCACAACAGAACAATTTGACAGACAAAGTTCAGCAAGTGTCGCTCACTCACCCGGTGGGACCCACGTCTCCGTCATGCAGAACAAAGTTAATCCATTATCAATTAAAAAAATCCTTTAAAAGCACTGTTTTGTTCCCCAGCGAACGAACATTTAGTAGAGCAATTCTGAGAGAAGACGAGGAAGTTGAGGACAAACAAGGGCGAGGAAGCTCTTCGCCGGACCTCACAGGATAAGTAAGATTCCTCCAGTTCACGCCGCCAATACGATGCCTCCTCAGGAAAAGAGTTCTGACCAGACAAACTTTCAACACTTGCCGTTCGAACTCCTAAATGGTCTGGTTCATTGACAAATTGTGTAATACTTTTTCTGAAAAATGATCAGCCACTGAGTTGCAATTGCAGGCTGAACGTAAAATCTTCCTTCAGAGCTGAACCTTGCACTACAAGATGAATTCTCGCGAGATTTGGAGTTGTCCAAACTCAGGAGAATCCATCTTGTACCTCTCCAGTTCAAACGTCCGGCCTAAAATAGGCCGGACCAATTGTGTGTCAGTACTGTGCTGTAGGGTCGGACTTACTTTTCACGATAGTATCAAGCGCTCGGCTAAGCAAAACAAACATGGCCGCGCCGGTTGACGCTAACAGCAAACAATAGTCATGACGGCAATACGGGGTCCACGGTCAAAAATGGTTCACGGTTGGATGTCTTAAATTTGCTATTATTATTAATTTACAGTAACAACAAGCCTACATTTTAATTATTAAACATTCGAATGACGTGTGGAGGATGCTCCAGGAGTATGGGGCGGGTGGCTTTCTGTTAAGGGCCATTCAGTCCCTTTACCAGAGGAGCGCGAGTTTGGTCCGCATAGCCGGTAGTAAGTCGGACCTGTTCCAGGTGAGGGTTGGACTCCGCCAGGGCTGCCCTTTGTTACCGGTTCTGTTTATTACCTTTATGGACAGAATTTCTAGGCGCAGCCGTAGTGTGGCGTGTGTCGAGTTTGGTGGCAGGAGAATCTCGTCTCTGATTTTTGCGGATGATGTGGTCCTCCTAGCTTCATCCAGCTCTGATCTTCAGCTCTTGCTGGGTAGGTTCGCGGCCAAGTGTGAAGTGGCTGGGATGAGGATCAGCACCTCCAAATCTGAGACCATGGATCTCGACCGGAAAAGGGTGGCTTGCCAACTCCAGGTCGGGAGAGAGGTCCTACCTCAAGTGGAGGAGTTTAAGTATCTCAGGGTCTTGTTCACGAGTGAGGGTAGGAGGGATCGGGAGATCGACAGGCGGATTGGTTCAGCGTCTGCAGTGATGCGGACGCTGAGCTGATCTGTCATGGTGAAGAGGGAGCTGAGCCAGAAAGCCAGGCTCTCGATTTACCGGTCGATCTATGTCCCAATCCTCACTTATGGTCATGAGCTTTGGGTAATGATAGGGTGAGGAGCTCAGACATTCGGGAGGGACTCGGAGTAGAACCGCTGCTCCTCCGGATCGAAAGGAGTCTGTTGAGGTGGTTTGGGCATCTGGTCAGGATGCCTCCTGGACGCCTCCCTGGGGAGGTGTTTCGGGCATGTCCTGCCAGTAGGAGGCCCCCGGGTCGACCCAGGACACGTTGGAGAGGTTACATCTCCAATCTGGTCCGGGAACGCCTTGGGGTCCTGCCGGAGGAGCTGGTGGAGGTGGCCGGGGAGAGGACGGTCTGTAGCTCCCTAGTTGGGATGCTGCCCCCGCGACCCGGACCCGGATAAGCGTAGGAAGACGACGACGATGTCACGGCCAGAAAAGACGTTCACTCATTTTGGAACTATTTTTCAACCATGACGGAACGTCTTGGTTTGACGCCGTTTCAACTGTCATTAAATGTCGGAATGTTTGCTGGGTCACTTTAGCAGGTTCGGATAACATAACTGCGTGACTTAAAAAAAACTGTCAGGGTTTCCCCCAGAAAACTTGATAAGCCTTGCAGGCCGGACCGTGTGGGCAGCGGTGGGGGGTTGCTGTGCTGCGCTACTGTTTCCCATCAGTATCAGCGGAGAGGAGTGCCGCGGTTCGTTTCGCTGCCATGCGTCTTCCATGTCAGCAGAGAAGGTAGGGCCGGCCGCTGGGGGGAACCCTACCCTTTATGCGCATTTTCTTCTCGCAAATCTGGCAGAAATCACCTGAAGACATGGTAATTGCCAAGTGAGTGAATGAATGAAGCTTGAGCAAGTTGTTGCTGTTTTCCGGGCACACATGGTATACGTCATTTGGCTAAAGACAAAATACGGTGGCCAGTGCCAGCTGGGAACTACCTTGCGTGACCTCAAATCAGCTCAAAATATTCTACCAGATAGCTCCCTCTTTCAGACAGTTTCTGCTGCAGAGATTCCAGATCGAAATGTGTAGACTCGATACGGGGCGGGGCTACACATAGAGATCTGGCTGCTGCCAGGTTACTGATCCCCTGCATTAGCAGCAGAAAGATTACAGTCAGAAAAAGCCAATCTCTTCATTGTCACAGAGACTAACTGACTCACCCAACGTGGCTTCTGATTGCAGAAGGCTGTGTTCAATTTGCAGCCAGGAGAGAGCAGAGCTCATCTCAGCTAGTAGAAGCTAACTGTTAGCGTTAGCAACTCCACAACATGGCGAAAAATGTTAAGGCTTGTGTTATTTGTGGCGATAACACAAAGTTCCAGTTCTTACCCCAGAAAGAAGAGCAAACAAAGTCTACGAAAGAGTCTTGTTGCTGTTTGACAATCAATGATGAGATGTTTGCATATCATGAATATTAATGAGTGAGACTTGTAATCCTGCCATTGTCTGCCCCCAACTCCTCCGGCTAATTTCTACTTCCTAAAACTGGAGCGCCAGAGCTTTTACCCCAAAGAAACCGACTCATTCATACTAGAGACCACTGCTAAATCTATTGGAAAAATAAATCAACAAGACCTTTAAAGAAGTTAATGAAGTTGGCAACATGGAGGACCATAAGCCACTCATGAAAGACACATAATGTTAAATCTTAAAATCCAACAGGAAAGAAAACTGGCTTGGGGGGGGGGGGGGGGGGGGGGGATTTAGCTCTGTTATTAGAGGGGAGTAGAGTCAACATTGAATACACACAAGAAATGGCCACTAGAAGTGTGCACTGGAAAGGATCTGGCAATCTCCAGTATATATCACAGAACCGGGGAAACAATACAATATTTCATCATGTTGCAATACTAAAAGCGAGATGATACTTTCATTATTTACGAGTGATTTAAATGAAAAACTCAGGCCAGACACTTCCAGGGCACATCCAGTGTTATCGCAAGATCTCAATGTTCCATCAGAATGAAAGCGGTAAAAACTCCCATGTAAGGAAAAACCAGCAGGCTGCCTCAAGTCATTGACTTTACAGCAATCCCCATACTAAGCAAGCATGTAGCGAGAGTGGAGAGAAAAACTGCCCTTTAATAGGAGCATAGAGCTACTCATAAAACAGAGCGGTCGCAACAATTGTTGCTTTCAATTAAATTTCTCTTTCGTTCAGTCATTTTGCGTTATTAGATAAAAATAGCCAAACAGAATAGAAAATGGTGCCATTTTTGCTTCTTTCTAAAACTTTGTACATCTTTCCAGTTAAACTGAAAATACATTAGATTTAAATATTCCCAATATTTGGAAGGGTGAAAAGACACATAAGTACTTGAATATTTTAATTTCTAATTCCAGCCTTTCTGTTTTAGGAAAAAAGGAAAACAGTTGAATATGCTTTAGGATCAGGGATTTCTCCCATGTGTGTGGAGCAGATGCTGGGAAAACTGATGTTTTTAAGCCTCCATGATAAAATGTTGTTATAGGGCGTTTGCATCCAGCAGCAGGCTGCTTTAAATATGCTAACTCAGCTTCTGTGACACAGCTCATCCTTTCACAGATTACATCTAAATATATGAGACATGGAAGTGGAACATAAACAACTCTACATGATGACTGCAGCACAAACACACTTCATCTCTACTTTCTCCCCTTTATAATGATGGCTGCAGCCATCATTATAAAGGAAAAGTGATGCTACAAAGATGAATGTGAACTTGTAAACAAGTCCGAGAAAATGTTAACAGACTCATAAAAACTACAGAGAGCTTTAGGGACCACCATGTGTTATCTACTCTAGCAAATCAACATTAATGCTGAAATGTTTAAAGAAAATTCATTATTTTTTTCTCACTTTCTTTAAAAACATGAAGTTTTTTTTTAAATATCTGAGTAACCTAGTAAACCCATTTAATCTAGATTAAAGTCTCTTAAAATGCAGGAAAATTTTGACATTTAGGGAGAAAGTTGCTGGCGAGGATTCAAGATCAATCAATAAATTTCAAAATCTGATTAAAAATGATAGGAATGAGAGGTGCATACAATTACAATTATGGATGAATTTTGTTTATCTCTGCATAAATATGACCAACAACATTTCCAAACTTCTAAACCTACACAAAAAGCACTCAAAGCAAATGAAAAGTTATACATTTCAGACATTTCTCTTAAAATCTGGAGCCCAAACACACCCACTGATTGGATGATGGCACCGTGGTTATATCCTCTGAGGCTATAATGAGCTGCTTATCTGACAGAACTCTGACATCTCTGGTTTTAAGATCAGATCTCCTGAAATGATTAAGCTGGTTTTTCGTTTTAAATGTAACTGATTTTTATGCAACGTGACTGACTACAACAGGCTACTTATGACTCAACTTTCAGCTGTTTGGTGAATTTCACAGATAACGATCAGGGATTTTAAAAGCTCACCACATATCCGTGCAAAGACCTGGATTATTAGCTTTTCTCTTACCTCCAACACACAGCAATGACATTTCTTATGTCCCGGGTCCAGCTTCTTAATTGGATGATGAGCAAAAATTCAGTCAGGAGATGAATGCCAGGTCTGGGGAGAGAGGAGCCAGGCGTCGCTGCTTCGGAATCCCAGGGCCGGCGAGGGTTCGTGACACCCGGCTAAAACGACCGTTTACCCGTTCGGAGAGTTCACGCGGGCGTCGCGGTCCTTTCTGTCCGTTTTTGAGACGCTTCTGTCTGGCTTTAGGATCATCTACCCTCCTCTCAGCCCTCCAGTCCCCAACTAACAGCCATCTTGTTCAGCTTCAGCACCACCAGCTGCGTGGACAGCAGTGACGTCAGAGCGCGTGTTGATGGAGTGTGGCAAGCCAGTTTGTCATATAATGAAACCACTCATCTACTCTTGTTTTTCATTTAAAATGGAAATTAACTTATTTAAAATAAAGGTGCTAATGGTTTTCTCTTGTGAATTTCATGTCAAATGCTTTCTACACCTTCCCAAGTTTTTAATGTTGTTGATGCTGTTATTTCTTAACGACTTATGAAAGTAAATATCTGAAATGATATTTTGTATGCTAATATTAAGTTGTGTTTGTACATATCATACATGGAGCTTATCGCTAATGAAAGTGTAGACATCTAATGTTCACAGTACTCTTATTAGAGCGATGTCATTGTACCACAAGAAAAATATGGTTTCGTATTTGCAATATGTTGATTTGTGTTTAAGGTAGGCAAAATGACATGCTGGATAGGATATTCATTTTATCAAAATGTCACAAACTATTTTGAAGCTGCTTTCAATCGGTTTTATGACCTAACAACTTTGCCATACAGTTTGTCTCAAAAAATGTAATTTAATTTTCTGACTACAACAGCAAATGTCATCACCTCCTGAGAGCCAGCGCTGTTAAAACAAGTTACTTTCACCAGCTTTTAATCTCCTGTTACAACTGGACTGAATGACATTTACTCAGAAAGCATTAACTCTGACGTACGCCAAAGATCTTGGGCTTAATTTAACCAAAATAAAACTATAAACTCAATTTACTAGACATCTTTGGCATGTTTGATGGGCTCAGTTCTATGGCATATTTACAAAAGTCATTATGTTTTAAAGACATGTTTTTGATATTCTAGGCATAAAAGGTGAAAATTTTAACAATTTCAAAAATAACCTTTTCATAAACAGACCAAAATATTATTCATTTATGTTTGCAGGAAAAAAACATTATTTATTTATTGGATGAACCTGAGTTCAAAAATGACAACATGCTAACAGCTCCCTCTGTCGTTACACGATGTGCCTTACAGTGGGGAATATGGCATCATGCTGCTGTAAACAACACCAAAAGCATAAGTTGTGTAGCAGCTGATGTGCCACAAACTGATGCAATTTTAATCAAATTTACAATAATGTATTTTAAGTACATAACACATAATCCTTTAAGAAAAATTTTAAAACATATTCCTTTGTTGGTGAAAACATGCTGTTCATCTATGTTTAATGAACATCTGTAAAAATACAAATATAAATCCCAAATTTATAATGTTCATACAAGAGAAACAGCGCGTCTATACCATCACCTCACTATGTCGACTGCAAAGTCAAGTATTTTTATCCCAACATTTAATTTTTCAGCACCAAACCAGCCTTTTTTTCCAATGCATTATAAAGAATGACGACACACAATCACTCCCACGTGAAGCAGCTGTGTTGTGAATCTAGGGAGAGCTGATCAAGAAAAACTACAAAACAATCTAAATATGCTCGACAGTTCAAGGAGAAACAGAATAAAAATTTATGACATTCATGAATTGAATAAAAACCATCCACACTGCCACAGATTCACATTTACATGAAACAATGCGCAACAGAGGGCACATTCTACAAGATACACATATTCTTAAACATCTGACAAGAAGACACAAGCTATTTGTACCCTTTCCTCTGCGGATCTTACCATACCAACATCCTATGTGGAATGGCACTAACTTGGACTGATACTGCCAAGCCTGAAAAGTGTCTCTGATGCACGGGGGTGTGGGGATCCAGCGGGGGTCTCCTCATAACTTCTCACTAGGAATGAAATATTGTTAAGGTTAAAAGTCCCACTAGTTATCACACCAATATGTGAAATATGTTCTCCACATCTGACCCATCTCCTGGGGGAGCAGTGAGCTGCAAACACAGCCGCACTCAGGAACTATTTGGTGGTTTAATCCCCCAATCCAACCACTTAATTCAGAGTGTTAAGCAGGGAGGCATTGGGCCCCATTTTTAAAGTCTTTAGTATGACCCGACCGGTTTTGAACCCTCATCTCCCAGTCCCAGGATGGACACTCATACCACTAGGCCACTTAGCTGACAATTAAAAAGTATTTTTACCATTTAAAAAAACTAGATTCTTTCTAATGTAAAACTGATGTTAAATTTTATAAAATAACATAGCATCGACTGTTGGAATGCTTAAAAATGGCCATTACCTCAACAGGACTGTCAGACATAAACTACTTCTCTGAACACAAGATGTTCAGGGAGCTGTGCGCAATGGGAACAATTTTAATAAATTGTAGCAGAAACACTTAAAAATGCCCCAAACTGCCTTTCTTCCACTTAAATGTTGAGTCTTTCGTGTGATCGTCACCTGTCAAAATGAGAGAGAACCTTGTGGAGTTGGCCGAGCAGAGCACGGTGGTTTTGTGGGTCTCCTTCCAGCACCCCACTGAGACGACTCAGGTATGAGTCCAGGTTTCCTAGAGAAGCTGTTTCACCAGTGCCTATTCAGAAAAGTTAAAAAATGTAATCAACATTATATAAATGCAAAAATGAAAACGAGATGCATTTCACATCATGGATGTCTATGCATTTCATGCTCTTTCACTGATGGATTCTGACCTGGCAGTGGGACCGCTGACAGACTGCTGACCAGCGTGCGTTTAATGGCCTGCAGGTGCTGGTGAAGAGCCTGCGTCCGTTTCTCATCCTGTCCCAGTTCAGCCTCCAAGCGCTCTTTAGCATTGTTCATATCATTGATGTGACGCTGTAGCACGGCGTTCTGCTCCTCAAACTCTACATTGGCCTTCCGGAGCCGTCGTAACTCCGCCTCTCGAGCTGAAAACACAAAGGAGAAAAAAGATTAGACAGCGAAACAAGATTATATATTAATGTGTTATTACCTAACAGGGTTTAACCCAACGTGGTATTGTTTTGAGTGAGATATACAGCAACTGTTTCCTGCTGTTAGTTTGTGTCACCTTTGTTTTGATCAAGGAACTCCTCTGTGAAAATTGGGATGTCGAATCTGCTTGGAAATTCAGGAACCTAAAACAGACACAACCAGCATAACTTTACTCAGGATAAAATTATTCAAAATATCATTGAAAATCCAAAGAAACATACCTTTATTAAAGATGGTCCTGAAGTTGAACTTACAATGACTGATGAAGTGTCTTCTGATAAAAAAAATAGACATGCGATATGCTTATCAGAATGCAGAAAAGTGCTTGTCAAGTTGGTTTGGACTGCAATTACTGATAAAATTAAGTAAGACAGTAGAAGAGTTCAGTTGTCACCTTTTTTTATTCTCTTGTCATGGATCTTGGTACTAGTGATCTGGAAGGCTTCTGTCTGTTGGTATTCCTTGAGTTCCTGAGCATACTGCATCTTGTCCTTCTCTGCCTCATCAAGATAGCGCTGATACAAAAATGACATTTAAATTTTAAAATATGAGTATAAAATCTTCAAAGCCAGGACACCTAAAGTAACGCAAGTAATTCATTGCAATGTCTCCTTAGAAACAAAGGTTTGATGTATTGAATTATTGTTACCTGTTTGTCATTTGGGGCTAATCGTGTCCACTCTGCCCCAAGCCTCTTGGTGATTTCTGGAAAAGGTAAATCAGGGTATCGAGCCCTCATTATTTCTCGCCGCTCATTTAGGAAGCGAACGTACCCTGTCACTGGTGCTTTGGGTCCATTCGGTAGAACCTTTTTTCTTTTCTTTCCCTTTGGCCAGCCTCGCTTTTTAGGCTGCAGAGAATGGAAAACAAATCTGTAATTTTATCTTCTCAAACATTGAACTATAAATAACCAATCTGATGAGCAGTTATGATTAGTCTTCCTACACTTTTTTTATTGTTCAGCCAATAATTTTCTAAAATAGACATACTTGTTGAAAATGTGCATCGTTAGCTTGCTTGATTTTGCCAACCATGTGAGTTATGCTTATTTAAATTAGTTTGTTGTAACACATTGTCAGTTTTACCATTTATTTAACCAATATTGATCCAAGTTGTTTTGTGTTGTTTCCACAACTCCCCACAAAAATTGCATCAAATACTGACATTGTAATAGGCAGTGAGCAGTGCTATTGTGATTAACTTTGCAGAATGCTAGTCCCCCTCACAATATCTTGTCGGCCTTGTTTTTCCTAACACGTCAGCAAAAGAACTTTTCCTCCCAACCCAAAGCCAGTTTATCCAGGTCAGAAGCATCGGCACCCACCTCCTCTTGTGGTTGGTCCGCTGTATGTGAAGCTTTGGGCTGCTGCGATGCATCACTCTGCTCCTGTTTGATTCCTCCCATTATACTCAGCGTTCAAGAAACTTACTGTAATAAGTGTGGGAACACATCAGATATTATTTTGTAAATTCAACCTGGGAAAGAATAAAAAAATATGTTAAACGTTGTTTAATTCAAGGTTAATGAACCAGCAGGGTCGCCGCTTTATAGCTAACCTGTCTGCTAGCTATTTGTTGGGGCTAACCGGCTAACGTTTTCTGGTCGGAGTCACACGCGCGCGCACTGAAAAAAGAAAATCCACACAAAAAGATAACCAATCGAACGCAAATTTTCGATTGGAAATATAAACAAATCTATACGCTGAGTAATACCGTTTCACGTAAACGATAGCAAATTTCTTCTGTCAAATATTAGATCTACTTCTAGAATTAACGTTTATTTCTCACCAGATAATGTGTCCCTCGGCCAAACAGGAAGAGAAGTATTTCTGCTTTCTGATTGGCTGATATGGAGACTCGTGATTGTCTGTTTGGTAGAAAAAAAAACCTCTACCAAAACCAGTACGGACCAGAAGCACAGAGCATGAAACGCTGTTTAAAAAAAAAACGTTCCGTCAACTTCGTAGGTCAGCACGCGTAATGCTTGAAAGTAAACCAAATAACGCTTTTAGAAGTCTAATTAGTATCATTTAGCATGAGTAAGCTAAACACCCAGCCCCATAAATAATGCCTTTTGCTGATGTCTAGATTTAACTCAAAATAATGGTAGAAGCTCAAGCGGTGATCCAACCCTAGTAAATTTCCCCAAAACAAACTTTTCCACCCTCCACTGTACACGTAGTTTTCTGCCCTTTTCAAGAGCGTAAACACAACGCTTGTAAAATCAAATCAAGGCACATTTATCATCTCACTAGATATAATTAGGTTGACAGTTTAACCCTTATTTTACCTTTATTTTCTAACAGTTCTGGTGTTTAAGCTGAAATAAAAGCACCAAGGACACACATAAGGGTTAAATAAGCTCATACTTTAATTTAGTCTTTATGTTAGTTTATAATTGAAAAATCTAATTTTTTCATTACTGGAAACAAAAACTGACATTTAAGAAATAAACTTTCAACCCTTTAAAGAAAGACAGCGCATCAAGTTTTTATTTTCTTTTATTTATTGTTTACAATTTTTGTAGTCATTTCTTTATTATAGTCGATCCTTTTGGCAAACATAGGCAATCATTGTGTTCTGTACAGTCCGGTCCCAGAAGAGTTAAATTTGGTGGGCAGAAAGGAATGAGACAAGAGCCAAATTGGGTCCAGGCTTCTACAATTTGTCCAGGTAGTTGTCCAAGGCTGGGACACCTTCTTTGAGGCCTTTACGTTTGCGTGTCTCCATGACAACTACACCTGGCCTACTGGTAGCTTCCAGTGGGTTTCCACTGAGAATCTGCCAATGGTCAAACACACACTGTGGGAAAGCCTGGCCACCGGTGTTGGAGCGAAGGTCAGCTGTGAAGCCTGGAAACAGAGGACAGTGGTCAGACAACATGCTGGGAGAACTTTTCCATTCATTATACAAGTTGTTCTTCATCAACAGAAAGTAAAAGTTTGACATTAAAAGGTGCATGCATGCATGTCACAAAGCTTCACAGCAGGGTTATGATTGACTAGCCTCAATGAAAAAAAATAGAGGACTCACCAAACGACTCCATGACAGGCAAGTATGCCTTAATGACATACATAGGTGTTCCCATGACCCTGGACTCCTCAAACACATGACCACGCCTCCTGGTCAACACACCGTAGATTCCACCCATAGCGGTTTCAGGGCACTACAGAACAAAGACGAATAATATAGTGAGTATATCAGAATAAACTTTGTCATTGCCCCAGTGTCATGAAGTTTGTCTCTGCAGTACAGCCTGACCACAGATACAGGCAGACCACGAGAGCAGTCGTCAAGGCGCTCATTGCATCAATCCGACACAGTACTTAAGTTTTAGTACACGTAATTAAATTCTTGGTAATCACCATTTTATAAAATTTGAGCTTTAGATAAATTTTTTTTTTAAATAATTTACAGAAGTTCACCTGGATTTCCACCAAATACACTGGCTCCATGATTCTTGGCTCTGCTGTCAGCTGGCAAGCGTAAAGAACTCTGCGGGCTGTGGGGATAATCTGACCACCACCCCGGTGAATAGCATCGGTATGCAGGGTCACATCATGGATGTCAAAGCGAATGGCACGCATGTTCTCTTCACAGAGTACTCCCTATAAAAAAAACAAAAACAAATATAATTCACCCAGCAATGACTTGGCAGAAAGAAACAGGTTTGCATTATTGAGCCCTCACCTCCTTGGCTGCCCACTGGAAACCAGCCACAACGCTATCCTTGATTTCATTGAGGTACTGGACTCCCTTGGTAACATCCACCAGCAGGTTGGGGCCGTTTCCATCAGGGCCAAAGCACCAGATCTTTCTGGCCTCACCGACATCCCACTCGTACTTATCAGCAAGGTAACGGGCACGGGCCTTCATCTCCTGACGATGGGTAACTTCACCCTTCTCCATGTCTTCAGCCAGGCCCTCTTCAAAGGGACGGGCCTTCATAAACAGCCGATTGTGTTTGTTGGGCGACTTTGACAGACACATTAGGCTGGATTCTGCACTGACGGTTTCTCTGTAGGACACCACTGGATCAGATTTCTAAAAAAAGAAAAGGTTCACACATTTAATGCAAATGTCCGTAGAGTTGAACGGATTATGCGAACTTCCTTAAATAAAAAAACAAAAGTTAAAACCTTTATTGGAATGCATGCATGATCCTCCTCCAAATCCTTCAGACAGATCTCCAGATGCAGCTCTCCAGCTCCAGCAACGATGTGCTCTCCAGACTCCTCAATGATGCACTGCACCATAGGATCAGACTTTGAGAGACGTTTCAGTCCCTCAACCAGTTTGGGCAGGTCAGCTGGATTCTTTGCCTCCACAGCAACCCTCACCACAGGGCTGACACTGAACTTCATCACCCTCATGTTGTGTGCCTGCTCAAAGGTAGTGATTGTTCCGGTCTTGACAAGGTACTGGTCCACTCCGACCAAGCCCACAATGTTGCCACACGGTACATCCTCAATGGGCTCAACATAACGACCCATCATCAAAATGGTCCTAAAAGAAAATACAAAAAGAGCAGATGTGAGAAAAATGTTACAGTAATGAGTAGAGCAGAACAAATGTATATACTAACCTCTGAATGGGCTTCAGGTAAAGATCTTCCTTCTTTCCAGGAACAAAGTTTGGCCCCATAATTCGCACCTTGAGACCAGTGGACACGGACCCAGAGAACACACGACCAAATGCATAAAAGCGACCCTTGTCACTGGTGGGGACCATCTTGGAGATGTACATCATGAGAGGGGCCTTAGGGTCACAATTCTTGATACCTGGGTGAAAATTAGGTTAAGGAAGAAATTAAAATCCAGACAAACACAGAACCAGCAGCTTACACTATACATACAACTGACAAACATAAGTTTAATGTTAAAACCTACCCATGGCAGCTTCATCATCACCAGGCCCTTCATAGAGCAGCTCACAACGATACTTCTGGGCGGTGACAGGGGAGGGGAGGTGAATGGTGATCATCTGGAGGAGGGCTTCTCCAGCAGGCAGCCAACGACGCATCACAGCCTTCAGGAGAGGTTTACCCTCCTTAGTCTTGTCATCAGCATCCAGCTTGATATCCAACTTCTGGATGAGCTTGGCGGTCTCCTCTTTCTTGAAGTTCATGATGGCATCAAACACCTAAAGAAACAGTCAGTTTGGCATTGAATAATCTTCCACAAACCAGTGCACAATAAGCCAGTGCAGCTATCACCTGCTCAGGTTGAAGTTTATCATCACTGATAGTCAGGTCAAAGTGAAGAATAATTACAATCATCACTTGCAGGCACAGGTTAGGACAAAATTGCATGACCAAGTTACGCAACTCTCATAAACACGTCTAGTGTACAAAACAGATTTTATTTGTCTTTTACATTAAACAATCTGGTTACCTTGAAGATTGGATCCAGGATAAGAGCACAGAAGGTGCGAGAGTACTTCTTGCCATCAGCACCAATGGCACTCTTCACAAACTTTCCATTTTCGGTGTCATAGTACCTAGAATACATGACATCAATATAAATAAGCTGTAGTACATTTTCATTATTATATCATACCACTACTATTTCAATGAACGACTGACGCACCTATCTCCCCACAGTTTCTTCATCATGTCTTCCACCTTTTTGCAGCGCTCAACTGGTGTCATCTGGGTGTTCCCCTTGGCAGCGAACTTGGCCGCGTACATCTCAGCAAACTGCTTCAGAGTGAAAGCCCAACCATGGAGTCCAGACCCAAAGCCAACAGTACCGATAACTGGATCAACCTGAAATACATGGTGTCATTTGTAAATGAGCCTGATTTTCTTTCCCTTAAAGTCAGTTTAATTTAGAACTGCCAATTGTTTTACTTAAAGCGTTTGCAGTTTAGGGTGTGCAGTTAACACACGTAACTGGAGATAATGAGTCATATTTCTGGGATTTGTGTTTCAAATTTATGTCAGATTGACTCGTTTCTGTAATCTATGCCAATACTCTCACACAAGAATAAATGAAAACACATCCAGATTACCACCTACCATGATATTACCCATTGGTCCGTTCTCATCCTCTCCGTAGGTGGAGATGATTACGTTCACGGACTCTACAATACGCTGGAACGTCTGGTAAAGGTCCTCAGGCTCCAGCTGCAACTCCAACAAGGCACGGTCCATCTTGTTCATCATCAGGACTGGCTTAATGCGCTCACAGATAGCCTGACGCAGCACAGTTTCGGTCTGCACACAGACACCTGGAACACACACACCAAGTTAATCTAGACGAGTTGCACCAAGGCAAACAGACTTCACATGAAAGTCATCTGCAAATACTGAGGTTTGTGTTTCTTTAGGGAAAAGGTGGGGAATCCTGATCCATTGAGGGCTGCAATCCTGCATCTTTTAGTTGTTTCCTTATTTCTACTCACCTGATTTGAATCAGCAGGCAACTAACATGCTTCTGCAGAGTTTTAACACCTGCTGAACATGAAATTCAACCACTGAATCATGAGTATTGGAGCAAGAAAGCAACTAAAACAAATCTGCTTTAGGGCATGCTTCTAAGCAATAATTTAATTTAATAAAGCAATAACCTGACCCCAACTACACTTGTGTTAAGAAATTAGGACACTATGCAAACAGCAGGAAGTGAAAATGTTGGCCAACAAGTGAAATGCAACACATCAAATTTTAAAACTGTTAAATTAATATAATTTAAGCAATGTTCTAATAAATGCAAATAATTAAATTGATTTTATTTGTGCAAAAAACATCCAGATCTTTTAAATAAGGTATTATAACCCTCTCAGGCTTAAATTAAGTTTTGATAAAAGGATGAACAACAAAGTCCTTCAGGGGTACTTCGGAGTTAAAAAATGTTCATGAAATGCGTATGTGGAGTAACCAGGTAGGTAGGTTTTAACTTTGCAAATCTGCAATGCCTGCCTCCAGCGGGTTAAAAAAAACATCCAACACTTAAGAGGAACACCATGAGGCTGTGAGGACTTACCAGACACACAGTCGACCACAACAAGAGCTCCATCAGTGACACGGAGAGCCGCAGTGACCTCAGAGGAGAAGTCCACGTGCCCTGGTGAGTCAATCAGGTTAATCAGGAAACCTGAGCCATCCTTGCTCTGCTTGATGAAGGCCAAGTCGTTTTCACTCAGTTCGTAGTACATGGAGATGGCTCTGCAAGTTAGAAATTGTTTGGGTGTTAAATGTAAGTATATATAAGAACAAATGTTAAATTAACTGTTAGCATCTGCCACCATCTTTTGGAAATTTTGTTTGAGGTCACAGGTGAACTTGCAGATGGTGTAAAATACTTACGTAGACTTGATGGTAATGCAGCGCTCCTGTTCATCTTTCCTTGTGTCCGTAAAGCGAGTCTCGCCAGCACGAGCTGAAGCAATGATGCCGGCCTTGGACACCAGTGAATCTGTCAGGGTTGACTTTCCATGGTCCACATGTGCAATCACGGACATGTTACGGATGTTGGCCTTTTTGTCCATGATGGCACGGATCTGGTCTACGGTGAAGTTCACCTGAGGATACAAAACAAGTTTAGAAGGAAAGAAATACATTAGGTATGTTATCTAAGCTGAATTCTACGTAAAAACATCTATTATGAAAATGACGATTAAAAATTTAGGTTCCCCTTTGAAGTGAAACAATATCCCAAGTTGACTAGAATCACCAAACATTTGCATTAACTTGTGCAAAACGCATCACAAATTATGACCTAGTACTTACGACAGGAAAAAAATTATACACATATAAACAAAAAATGACAACGGAAAATATTCTATTGCTGCATGCAGGTGTTGCTGACACAAGTTGATTGGTCCCAGTCACGTGACCCTATGCTGTGCTTGAACCATTCAACAAATACTCAGATTAATACCTACACGGAGTAGATAGCTGCTTTTCTAATTCTTGCCACTTTTTACATTAATAATTTTATCATGAGTGTTTTATTAATTCTTATATTTGCTTATCTCTTAATTAATTTTTTTTCTATCTTACCTTCTGCACCAAAATACCTCAGCAATTTCCTAATGTTGTGACTTGGCACACATATGGCAATAAAAACTTCTGATTCTGATAAACTGCAACAATCCGCAGGTCCACTCTGGGCGTTGTGTTTCCGCCATGATTTAAGATGACGTTATTGTTGTCTACGTATTCCAAAACCAATCCAATGCCACCCAATATCTAGAATATACTAAAATTAACCGACCAGAACTAATTCCTGCACTAACTGAAAGCATACCACAAGCAGCTCGTATAAAAGAAACATTTAAAGCCAGTGACAACCGGCAGACTTTGTCGACAGTAACAGGCCACGTGTACAGACTTTGAAACTGTGCTAAAGGCTAACACGAACACCCAAGAACCGGCAAATTAACCTGTAGCCATTAAACACTATTTACGGTAAATGGTGTTCATCTTTATCCATCGCGACAAGAAACGTTTTCTGATTGAGCCACTCGTAATATATCCCTGCTGCTCACAGATCAAAATATGAGATATTTTAAAGGCAGCAGCGAGGGTTAGCACAAAACTCCGACGCTACTAACGTAAACCAGGACAATACGAACATCTACTTAGGCCATTTAAAAAATAAGACTATGCTGTTATTAACTCGTGTTTCAAATACATAAATGCCAACGAAGCAGTTAAGTTTAAACTACAGTTCTGACATTATGACAGTACCGAGGGCCTATTCGTGCTAGCGTTAGATAAAATGGTTGCCATTTTGTTGTCGGGATATCACACAAGAAAACCACCAAGTATTTAGCCAAAATTGGCTCAATAACTTTCGTAGCAGCGTTTATGATATCCGTTCATGTCCAAATAGTTATTAATATGCAGATAAGATACCACAGACTCACCATTTTGACAGATGGTATTGGATTCTCTTGATGGAGAAAGAGACAAGAAATTTTACACTGCCCACCTCACGAGGGCATAGGCAGGGAAGAGGCCGCTGACGTCAGAAAACCGGATTTTATACTCGGTGCGTCAACTACGTGCGTCAAAACGATCTAAACGTACTGATGTATTTCACGATGCAAACATTATGAAGAAGAAAAGGTGATTTCTAAAATAACATAGTTGTCATCTTTTTGTCCAGATAAGTTATCCCCTGAAGAACAAGAAACTCTATTGGAATTTCAAAATAAACTGGATAAACTCTATAAATCTAGAGCTGAAGGGGCTTTTGTAAGGTCCAGGAAAAAATGGCTGGAGGAAGGAGAGCAGAATTCAGCATACTTTTTTAGGCTAGAAAAATCCAAATCCAAAAATAATACCATTCATCAACTAAAACTAGACAATGTAATGTGTGATGATGCTAATCGAATTGCAAACTTCTGTTCCAATTTTGATAAAGAGCTATATAGCTCTCGTTATTGTGATGACAGTGCTGTCCGTTTTTCGGACTCTTTAACGAATTGCTCCAATTAGTATGGCGGATCAAATGTTCTACAATAGTTCAATCACCTTAAAAGAAATACTAGAGTCAATTAAAAGTTTAAAGAACAACAAATCTCCTGGGGTGGTTGAACTCACTTCTGAATTTTACGTATCCTTCTCTGAAGAGCTAGCTCCATTTTTATTAGAGATTAATGAGAGTATTTCCAAAGGTTTTCTCCCTCCAACTCTAACACAGGGCCTCATAACCCTGATCCCTAAACCTAAGAAGGATATCTCACTTATTGACAATTGACGGCCAATTAGTCTCCTCAATAACGACTATAAAACTGTAGCTATTATATTTGCTAAGCGCCTAAAAACGTGTTAGATAATATTGTAGATGAGACGCAGTCTGGGTTTTTGAGGAACAGGCACATTTCTAACAACATTCGACTCGTACTTGACATAATAGATTACCCTGAACTAAATTACAATGAAAGTTTTATCCTCTTTTTGGACTTTTACAAGGCATTTGACTCCATCGAGCACAATTTTATCTTCAAAACACTAGAGAAATTTGGATTTGGGGATTTCTTTAGCAGAGCAATTAAAACCTTATACGCTAAGGGAAACAGTTCAATTAAACTAAAGAATGGCACATCTCCTAAATTTCAATTAAATCATGGGATACGTCAGGGATGTCCCATCAGTCCTTATTTATTTATCCTGGCTACTCAATTATTGGCCTCTCATATCAAAATGAGCAACCTAAAAGGCATATCGATTGCAGATAGAGAAGTCATTATTAGTCAACTGGCTGATGACATGACCCTTTTCTTACGTGACTCATCTCAAATCTCCCTCGCTCTTGATATTATTCAGGTTTTTTCCAAAGCTTCAGGCCATTCTCTAAATATAAATAAATGTGAACTAATGGCAGTCAAGAACTGTGAGCTACCCTCCATCTGCAATATTTCAGTTAAAGAAGCAGTGACGTACCTAGGAATAGTTGTAACAAAAAACCAAAAAGACAGAGGTGACCTGAACTTTACCCCAATATTAAAAAGAACCAAGAAAAAAAATTTTTTTTTACCAGTGGCTCCAAAGGGACCTTTCATTAAAAGGTAGAATACTACTCGCTAAGGCGGAAGGAATCTCCAGACTTGCATATGCTGCTATTTCTTTGGACGTTAATAAAACAGTTACAAAAGAAATTGATCAGATGCTTTATAAATTTATTTGGAAGAACAAAACTCATTATATTAAAAAATCAGTACTAATGAATAATTACAAAAATTGTGGACTCAATTTTTTTGATTTTAATATTTTAAACAACACATTCAAAATTCATTGGATTAAACATTATTTAAAAGACCCTATGTCTATGTGGAATATCATTTCCCATCAAATCTTTTCTAAGCTGGGTGGACTAAAATTTCTCTTAATGTGCAACTACAATATTGAACGTATACCTGTTTCTCTCTCAAATTTTCATAAACAAATGTTATTGGCTTGGTCTCTAATTTATAAGCATAACTTTTCTCCTAATAATTACCTTACATGGAACAATAAAGATGTCTGTTACAAAAGGAAATCGTTATTCTTTGACAATTGGTTTAGGAATGGCATTATAAAGATCAATCAGCTCTTTAATAAGGAAGGAAATTTATTTACTTATCAAGAATTTCTTTCTCATTATAAAACTCCTGTAACCCCTAAAGCAGGGGTGTCAAACTCATTTTAGCTCAGGGGCCACATTGAGGGAAATCTAGTCCCAGGTGGGCCGGACCGGTAAATTAAAAAAAAAACTTCAGATTGTTTTCTTTGTTTTAATTCAATCAATATAAAACAAGGCTGGAGCCTGAGGACAGTGTAGTACAAGTACAACACCTGAAGTGTACTTGTAAAAATTGAATAAATAAATAAATAAATAAATAAATAAACATTCCTTAGTGATACAAAGAGCTTACAGATCACATGGCAAGATCAGTTTCATGCAGCACTTAAAGTATATTTGACTCATTTAACCTTACATCTTTTAGCTTTCATCAGCACATCAATATCAAGTCACATCCTGAGTGGCAGCCAACTTCAGGATGTGATTCAAGTTCTTGTGTGAGCCTTGAGCGCAGCTTTGTTTCATTTATACTCATTACAGAGAAAACTTGCTCACAAAGATACGTAAGTTTATTTTCACTCTACATTGTAAAGTATGAAAATAAAGTTTACACAACCATCTCGCAGGCCGGATTAAACCCGCTTGCGGGCTGGATCCGGCCCGTGGGCCGCATATTTGACACCCCTGCCCTAAAGAATTTGCTATTGTTTTCGGCGCTATTCCATCTGGTGTTATTATGCTTTTCAAAAGTTATACCACCCCACCATCTAACATGACCCCTTTGCCTGATCCAAGTGACACATTTATAGGGAAACTTTGTTTTCTATCGAGATTACGGCCAAAAAGTATGGACTCTTCCTAACAGATACTTGCTTACAAACAAAGTCGAAGAAGTCCCATTCAAACTCCTTCATCGCTATTATCCTGTTAAAACATTCCTGAGGAGATTCATTAAAGACTTTGATGTATTCTGTACTTTCTGCAAGGAGCACCCAGAAACTATCAACCACTTGTTCTGGACTTGTGAACACACTCGGAAACTATGGCAAGGCGTCTGTAGATTTATATTGGACCATATCCATGAGACCTTTGTATTATATTTTCACGATGTTCTGTTTGGATTTCTGGACAATCAGAGGGATTTGGAAAATTAACTGTTCATATCTAATCTTATCATATTGCTGACCAAGTTTTACATCCATAAATGTAAAGTGTTAAAAATAAGACCTTCCTTTTGTGTCTTGAAAAAAGAACTTAAGCTTTATTTGAAAACAATCTCCACCTCGAACAATAACAAAGCCATTAAGACACTAAGTCTCTGCTCGAAATTTCAAATCTTTCCATAATTCATACTCTGTTGCATGTCTCGTATTGTTTCCTGTTTCGATCATCATTCTCATATGTCTCATAATTTGTATGATGCAGTAACCCCTGGTGTTGAATATGTTGGTATGTTTTTGTTATGTTTATACTGTTTCCGTGTACTTCATAGTGGACATTGAGTCAGTTGTGCATCTTGACTGTATTGTTAATGAACCAATATTCTAAATAAAAAAAAAATCACGATGTAGCTCCAGCTCCACGAGCCCGCCAAAATTTAAAATGTTAAATACACGTTTCTAGGTAAAACCAGTTCAACACATTAAAAAACATTAGAATCAAATGATCTTGTAGGGTGGACATACTGATGACACGTATAAGCCCACCATGATTTTTGGTTCTTTTCTACACACAGAGTAGCAAAGTTTGTTTTTACCATTTTTGTTACAAAGATCCAATCCAAACCAATTTTATTTCCATAGCTGTACAACACTGTCGACCAAAGTGCTGTACAGTTAAAAGCAAACAAGCACATAAAAACTGAAAACACATATAAAACACTAAAAACACACCAATAACAAAACGTATCACAGCTAAAATAACTGGATGAAAACAAAAAATAAACATGGGTATATAAAAATCAAACAAGAGTGGATGTACAACAATCTTATAAGAGAGTAGAAGTGTCTTGAGAAAAGTTTTAAAAACCACAAGCGAGGAGGCTTTCATGATATTGACGGGCAGCTGAATCCATAGGCTAGGAGCAGCCACAGCAAAAGACCTATCACCTCTCCGCCTCAGCCCTCGGAACAACCAACTGCATTTAGTCAGCCAACCACAGTAGTCGTGGTGGATCCACGATATCTGTCGGTGTATATGTCGATGGTTGGATCGTATGGCAGGAGAATGTCTGAGAGGTATGATGGTGCCAGCCCATAAAAAGATGTATTAGTTAGCACAAGAATTGTAAAACAAATTCTCAAAACAACTGGAATCCAGTGAAGAGAATTAGCTAGCACCAGGGTGATGGGATCACAGATACAGGTGCCTGTTAGCAAACATGCTACTGCATTCTGCACCAACTGCAGTCTCGAGAGACATTCTTGACTCACACCAATATAAAGACCATGGGTGTGTCCGAATTCATGGGTAGGATGCTTGTGAGTACGGGTCCTCGCCAGTCTAGCAAGGCCGAGTCCTTGCTAGACCACTAAGACCGGAACCCAGCGGCTCTGAATTCGGACAGTCTAGCCTTCACCTCTACGGTGGCCCGTAGGTCCCGTCACAGCCGTGGCGGCAGCTACATGCAAAGGAAAAATACTAAAGCTAGCGAAAACCGAGCAGGAATCTTGAGGATCTACAGCAGCTTCACGTCCGTCAGCAGCGTTTGTTCACAACCGTTTTCAGATAAAGTAATTTTGTTTACTGTAGAAGCTTTCAGGACTTACATGTTAACTTTAAATGGTTTCATGTATGTTTTAAGCTACACAATGAACTTGTTAAACATACACAACACATTACTACAGAGTATTAACATGTAGGTAATTAATATAAACCAAATGCATTATAAATGTTGAATGCAGTCGGATGTTTTCTAATGTAAATTGGACCTTAGAACTTCTTATGTTGCATCAAATGGGGTCAAACGTTTTAACCCTCCTATTCTCCTCAAATTTACTAA